AACCTTTTTTTTTTTTTTTTTTTTTTTTTGAGACAAAGTCTCACTCTGTCGCCCAAGCTGGAGTCCAGTGGTGCCATCTCAGCTCATTGCAACCTCTGCCTCCCAAGTTCAAGCAATTCTGGTGCCTCAGCTTCCCTAGTAGCTGGGATTACAGGCATGGGCCACCATACCTGGCTACTTTTTGTATTTTTAGGTAGAGGCGGGGTTTCACCATGTTGGCCAGACTGGTCTTGAACTCCTGACCTCAGGTGATCCTCCCGCCTCGACTTCCCAAAATGCTGGGATTATAGGCATGAGCCACTACACCCAGCAGAGAATTTAATCTTCCTTGTTAGCCTTCGAGAATTCGTTTGATTTACTAAAGGAAGATGTTGCTTTCTTCTTCGCAGCTTTTTGGAGGGTGTCCTTGGCCTCTGTATGCTATACAATTCAGAGAGCGTGCAAGCCAGGAGAGGAGTGTCAGTCCCAGTGGAGGCTTGCTAATGTGCAGATGCAGCAGGTGCTACAGGGAAGGGAAAGGGCACTGGGGTGAGTCAGCTCTAGGTTCTGCCACTGGCTTTCTGGATTCCTTTAAACAAGTCACTTCCCCTCTCTGAGCCTCAGTTTCCCCTCTGTATGATGAAGACTTGGACTAGATCCTACTTCAGTCACTGAAGTACCTTCTTCGTTATTTTTACCATTCACAAATGCCACCTGTACTTCATTAAAGTATTTCCCAGGCCAGGCATGGTGTCTCACACCTGTAATCCTAGCATTTTGGGAGGCCAAGGTGGACAGATTACTTGAGGTCAGGAGTTCAAGACCAGCCTGGCCAACATGGTGAAACCCTGTCTCTACTAAAAATACAACAATTAGCTGGGCATGGTGGCAGGTGCCTGTAATCCCGGCTACTCAGGAGGCTGAGGCAGGAGAATCGCTTGAACCCAGGTCGCAGTGAGGGGAGATCATGCCACTGCATTCCAGCCTGAGTGATAGAGTGAGACTCAGTCTCAAAAAAAAAAAAAAAGAAGGAAAGTATTTCCCTGAATTGATTCACTTTACTAATTTCTATAATTGTGTGTGTGTGTGTGTGGAGACTGAGACTCACTGTCGCCCAAGCTGAAGTGCAGTGGCACAATCTCGGCTCACTGCAGCCTCAGCCTCCGGAATAGCTGGGATTACAGGCACCCAGCACCACGCTCAGCTAATATTTGTATTTTTAGAAGAGAGGGGTGTCACCATGTTGGCCAGACTGGTCTGGAACTCCTGACCTCAAGGGATCCACCCGCCTCAACCTCCCAAAGTGCTGGGATTACAAGCGTGATCCACTGCACCTGGCTATAGATTTTAAAAGAAAACATATTGACATAACCATTAATGAACAATCAGTATCATGAATAAAGTTCTAATAATAAGGCTGCTGAAAATGAAAGAAAGTTACATAATCCTTGCACCATGCTCTTGCCTGAAAGAGATCTGAGCCTGAGATTTGTTTTCTCTTTGATAAAGAGGGAAATAGCAAAGACTTTCCACCTGATGAAGCCAGAGTATTGAAAGAAAATTAAGAAGGAAAGCTCTCTGACTGTGTAAACCAATGCTGTTTTAAGTGGTGCCCACATACACCTGAAATCACTGTGTAGCCTCAGTGGTACACGCCCTTGACTTTGGGGGAACCTGGACATACCACTTCTTAGGTCCTTCCTCCCTGTCCTAAGCTGCATGATTCTAACCTGTGTGCATTTTAATTCAGCCCTACCTGACCCCTGGCCTAGGGAAACGCAGACACAGGCAGAAAGCACCATAGGTCAGGCCCAGCCTCTACCCGCTAACAGCTCCTGGTTGCAAAGCTGCCAAGGTCTCTCCTGCAAAGGAGAGGCCGGGGAAGGACAGACATGCAGGGCAGAGACCTAGACAACAGGCAGGGGCACAGCAGTGTGAGCTCGCTGTCCTCACCTCTTTCCCAAACTGCCCACCCACAGAGGCCACTTGCATAACAACCCACCAGCCAGCTTGTGACCAGCTGGGCAGCTCAGCTGGCCCTAGGCATCAAGATGACTGTAACTTGGGTGTATGTGCCAGTGGGAAGGCTCCCTTATCTATAATATGGGAATCAGGCCCTCCCCAGACCCTGCCTAGAGTCATGGGCAGGAGAGACCTGGGAGGGCTTGTCCTGAGTGTCCCTAGTCTCTGGGACCTCGCCTGCCCCATCTTCAACCACAGGAGGGGCAGCTGGTAGTCGATGGGCCAGGGTTAGGAGAGGGAACCAAGAGGGTACCAACCCCAGTCCACATGGGAGCTTCCTCTTCGCTGGCTCCTGAGCCGCCCCTGGGGCCCTGCCCGTCACCCTGCTGTGCCATCCGGCAGGACATGGAACGAGAGCAGACAACAGGCACCACAGAGAGAAGGAATTGCTCACGGTTTTCAAAATAGAATCGATGGAAGTCCAGGCCCTCAACCAGGTTCCCCAGGGCCTCAGGTTCGAAGGCCGTCATGCCAGGGTCGCACATCTTCCTGGGGGAAAGAAGCCAGAGGAAAGAGGGGCTGGGGCGGCTTCTCACTGGACCCTTGGAGGGTGAGCCTGTGAAATAGGAATGATTACACCCACCTCACAGGATCGTTGAAGTTAGTGGACGGGAAGGGGCTTGCAAGCAAGCTATAAAGTATGGGATATCACTGACTGGTGTGTGCCATCTAGATCCAGGAAGCCTAAGTTCAGGCCCTGGCTCACCAGTGGCTTTGAGACCCCAAGCAAGTGGCTTAGCCGCTTTAAGCGAGAGCACCATGGATGGTGTGCAGGGCTGCGCAGTGCACTAACGGTGCTGTGGGGAGGAAATTCCGTTTGCTCTCTACTCTCCAAATTGCGCTCCCTGGTTCAGGGCAGTGGATCCAGAGGGGGATTTTTCCTATTTATCTTCCTGTGGGGTCAGGACTTGGGGGACTGCCTTTTCCTTCACATAAAAGGACTTCTGCTCATCAAGCCAGGTATATACCTGGAAGGGGCGAGTTTTGCTAATTTGAACAAGGGTTCCCTATTGTTACCAGCCACCTTGGCTGTGAGCCTCAGTTTCCTCTTCTGTAGGATGAGAAAAATAGCATTAGATGAGGTAATATCTGGGAGAAGCACAGGGCATGACGGAGGCTGTGTATTTTCAGCGGTTGTTCCCTTCCAAGTCTTAGTCTTCTGGGAGACCCTGACAGCCAGACAAGGGAAGGGAACAAGCTGTCTTTTCCTCGTTCCAGGGAAACAGGTCTGTGGGATCTTCTGTGGCATAACATGGACCCCCGTGGCAAAAGCAATGAAGCCAGGGACAGGAAATGTCCCAGGACAAGCAAAGCTCTCAACCTAGGGTACAACTGGGGACACCCAGGAGGGAGCGTCAGGCCCAGCACCGTCTGAGCTGGAGAAAACATTTACAGGGTGCACTGTCCCTGCTCTGTTCTGTCTCTTTCAGTGGCCCTAGACAAATTGCTTCTCTACTCATGACCCCAGATTCTCCAGAAGGCTTACGCCAGGGGCTGGGGGACTGTGCTCAGACCAAGCGGGGTGCCCAGGACCCTTTCAGCTCCAGAATCCCCCAAGGGTGGGGGTCTGGGCATGTGGGAGACTACACACCCCCATTGAAGAAGCCCCAACCCTGGAGGCTCCTTGGTATTCCTGCCTCCTAGAGTGAAGGGACTTGGAGGCCATTGCCCCAACTCCACTGTACCTATGGGGAAACTGAGGCTCAGAGAGATGAAGGAACAGATTCAGGGTTACACAGGGCATCCTGGACCCAGAGGTCATGGCAAGGGGTCAGAATGTAGAGCAGGCTGCAGATGTCAGAAGAAGTGACATCCCATAGGTGTGAGGGGCTCCCCAGGACCCCCAGAAGTGCCACTGAGGAGCTTGGGGACCACAGGACCCACCTCGCTTTCCTTCATTCCCTGGCTGGGTCCTTCCAGAGCCACTGGCATGATACATTCCAAGTTCACTCTTTCTAGAACTGACTGCGAGACCAGCTTAACAGCCTATTTCCATGCTTCAGTGCAACACTCCGGTATACATACGCACACGCACCTGCGCACCCTCCTTGTGCACAGTCCCAAACGTGCACACATGTGTACAAGTGCATGCATACACATATGCACACGTCACCCTCAGTTCCACACATGCATCTTCCAAGCCCCTGTTCTGCCAAAGGGAGCCAGTGACCTTCTAGGGGGCTTTGCCACCTGCTGCTGCTGAAAACCCTTCCACAATTAGAATGCACCTGGCCTGCCAAGGCTTTGGGAGGCAAACCAGCTCTGGGTACCTTGGAAACCAGGATCAGGCTGCCCAAGGAGCGAACCCCAGCCAGGCTATGCCTAACTCACCTTAACCCAGCAGGGAAAAATCACTCTGCCCTGGTGGGCAGTCTTTGTCCTCTAAAATGCATATGTCTGATCTCCAGGCCCAGGCCTTGTCAGCACTGGCCAAACTGTTAAGGATTAAGCCCAGAATATTCACTCTCCCCGGGGCCAGCTGAGGGCCTGGCCGAAGTTTGTTTCTGGGCCAGGCCAGGAAAGGCGTGCGTGGGCAGCACAGGTGCTTCGACTCAGCCCTCACACACAGAGCTGCCCCTCCAAAGGCGAGTCCAGGTGTGTATGGGATGTCTCATTTTATGTAATTTTTGTGCATGCTGCCTTATTTCTCAGAGGAGTTCAGATTTTGCTTAGAGGTACTTCTGCTCATGCCTGCTCACCAAAGGGACACTCCCTGTGGATCCTGCCTGCTCCTGCCCATCTGAGGTCAGGAGTGTAGGGTGAGTGCCCAGGCCCATTGGGCAGGAATGAGAGGGGCCTGTCTCGCTTCCCACCTTCCCAGCTCATCTCCCGAGAGGCCCATGCTATGATGCTGTCCACCCCCTCTTTCCTTGGGGAAGCAAGGGAGTTTTGTTGGCGTTCCTCCCAGGGAACAAGATGTGAGGAGGAGGAAGGACAGGAGGAGGAGGACTGACATATAGAGAAGTGTTGCGAACAGAAAGCTCAATATAAGCATCAAGTCCAGATGCAAATAGAAATGTGAGTTCAGTCTGATTCACAGCACATGCAAAGTGAGTGGATGAGGGTCGGAGACGAGGATCCCCAAAGCTAGCCATCGGTACCCGCTGAACAACGATCCAGGCAGGACATGCAGAATGAGCCCAGCTGACTCACGTGTAGGACTCAAAATCTCCATTGCTTATGGCTTCAATCAGCTGCTCTGTCACTTTTATAATTTCCTGTTTCCGCACTGTAAGGCAGAAGGGGACACAGAAATAATGATAATAACAGCGATGGTAAGGAAGCACCAGCTACCACTTCTTGAGTCCTTATCATGTGCCAGACCCTGTGCTGGGACCTGAAGGCCTCATGCAGATGATATTTATCCTCGCATTGCTGCTGGGGGATAGGCGTCATCACCCCTGTTCCACAGAAGAAACTGAGGCCCAGAAAGGCAAAACAGGCGTGAAAGCTCCCCAACTACAATCAGCAGAGCCAGTGTCTCCGTTGACGGTCTTTGCCTCTAACACATGGTGGACATTCTGACTCTACGCCTGATGTGACTCCAGGTCTTGGCTCCCAAATACTTATTCCTACCACCTTGGCTTTGCCATGTGAATCAAAACAGGATCAACTGTGGCACTGTCACTGACAGCCATGAACCAGGGGCTTCCTTATGGCCAAAACCAGGACCACTAAGAAAAGTCTTAGGGTATACACATCACTTGAACCTAGGTGAGTTTTTGCTTTATTTGAGTGCCAATAGGAATTAGACGCCAAGCTGTTTAGAACTTTCTAGGAATAATGAATCCCAGTTGCTGAGACTTGGCCCTCCCCTGCCTGCCATTGAAACACCACAAACAGCTGGTCTTTCTGGTGGTGTTAGATGGCAGTCTTATTAGATGTGCGATGTTCTGAGCCTCAGTTTTCTTATCTGTAAAATGGGGACACCACCACCTCTCATTCATTCAGAGCCAAATACATAGTGGAAAGAATCCAGGCTTCAGCTTAGACAGATGTTCACCTAAATGACTGTGCAGGTCCTCACAAGCTGTGCAACTGCGGGCCACAAGGTGGTTTGCTGGTCTGTCAAATGGAGATGATAGTGTTCTCCCAGGCTGGTTATGAGGGCGGGGTGAGGTGATGCACACGAAGCAATGGCCAAAGCCTGGCACACAGGGGATGCACCTCCGAAGTGCGGCCACGTCCTGTTTCCCTGTGCCCCTACCAGGGGTTGCCTCTGCTCTTCACTAACACCCTGGGAGGTGGGCAAGGCCAGCTTCCTTCCACTTCACATACGAGGTGACTGAGCCTCAGTGATGAAGGAATTTGAAGCCGGGTGTCCTGGTTCCTGGCAGAGCCTAACAGGAGCCTTGCTCGGTCTCCCAGAGGCAGGCCCACTTTCCCTCCTTCCGCAGGCTTACACTTGGCTTTAAGCCTGGCCAGCTCATTGGCCCACTGGAGCTGTCTCGGGTGAAGAGATGAAAACATTGCCTGGATTGCAAGCTCAAGTCTGGCCTCAGCACTTCTCAGTCTGGGAGCCTGGGAGGGAGTTCAAGCCTAGCAGAGGCCCTCACCAGCCCTGTCCTCACTGGTTGCCCACGCCATGCCATCCCACACAGGAGCTCACCTCAGGCCCAGAGGATACAGAATCATAGAACATTCAGGGTAAGAGAACCCTTGGAGGCCAGAACATCCTTATCAAACTTTAGAGAAACTGAGGCCTAGTGAGGAGGTTGTGATTTGCCCAAGGACATGGCACATACCAGGTGGAGAGCTGGGCTCCTTGCCCAGGGCCTTTTCCATAGGCCCCTGAAGCCCCAGCTCACTGCCTTTCGTAACACTAACCTCACGCAATTGCTTCGCCCAAATGCTTATGTATGCCCCAACTCATAGACGAGCTCACGGGGGCTGGGCTGTGCATCCCTTGCTTACTGTGTCCTGGAGCCTGGAACGGACTCTGCCTCCACAGGCCTTCATCATTGAATGAATGAGTGAGTGAGTATACCAGGCCATGTGCTGTGTGCTTAGTCTACCAAGTTCCAGAGCCACATAGCACAACTCCACTTTCACGTCACAGATGAGCAAACTGAAAGTGAGAGAAGCTAAATAATTAGCTCCAGTGGAGCTGGGACCCTCATCAGAGTTTGCAGTTCTAAAGCCCATCACACTCTCCCATACCATGCCCAGCACCACCCTTGGTAGATTGTAGCGATGATCATTCAATGTCAGCCACGACTGTGAACAGGTAATTCTTTCTCTCTCCTGGCTCCAATCAGAACCACCTGGGCTGGGAATGAGTCCATTTTTAGACCATGAATGCCATTGGGTCACACGGGTGTTGCTGTACCTCCCCCTCTGGGGAGATGTTTGGGGCTGGGGCAGAAGCAGCACTCAATACATAAGTGTTGAGTGAATTAATGAATGAATGAATGAGTGAATGGGACCAAACTAGGGTCTGGGCTGCTATCTTTGTCCTGCCCCGTGGACTTGCCCAAGTTGCCTGGTAGCCACTGTCCCTAGGACATCCGGAACCTGGCCTGTGCCCTCCTTCCTAGAAGCTGAAGACTGAGGATGGGAAGAAGCCTAGCCCGGCCAGAGCCACATCTTTTTGTTTTGTTTTGTTTTTGTTTTTTTGACACAGGATCTCTCTGTATTGCCCAGGCTGGAGTGCAGTGGTGCTTGCGATCTCAACGGGTTCAAGTGATTCTCCTGCCTCAGTCTCCCAAGTAGCTGGGATTACAGGCCTGTGCCACCACACCCAGCTAATTTTTGTATTTGTAGCAGAGATGGGGTTTCACCACGTTGGCCGGTCTGGTCACGAACTCCTGACCTCAGATGATCCGCCCATGTTGTCCTCAAAGTGCTGGGATTACAGGTGTGAGCCCCTGTGCCTGGTCCAGAGCCACCTCTTTCTAAGCACTCCCACATGGAATCAGGGCTGACCACCAGAGCAAATCCATGTGCTTCTGATATGGGACCTGCGTCACCCTCCTTGCCTTCCCTGCATGGACTTTAAGACCCTTCTGACTCATCATTCCACCAGCCTGTGCTCAGTGGCTCATTTCCTTGGGCTGCTTCTCACTGCCATCTCACAGGGTCTAGCATAGTGGCTGAGGGCATGGATTCCGGTGCCAGACTCCCTGGATTTGAATTCTGGCTCTGCCACTTAATAGCTGTTCCCTTGGGCAAGGGAATGTCCCATGCCCCAGTTTCCCTATATGTATAATGAAGATACTAATAGTACTTACCTTGTAGAGTTGTTCTAAGGATTAAGTGAGTTAAGACTATGTCAACAGAAATAGCTAACATGTACATGGTCCTCACAGAGAGCCAGCTGCTACTCCGGGTCCTTTAGATCGACGCACTTATGTAAAGGATGCTGCATTATGTAAAGAAGTTAGCGCAGTGCCTTGCACTTGGGAAATGAGAGCTTGGTTATTATCATCTGGGAATCTCTGAATTGGAAGTTCCTCCTGAGGACATCCTGGAGTCTCTAGCCAGGGCAGGGATGTTTCCCAGCAGCCGGGTGTGAGGGGTGTGGCTCTGGCTGAACGCGGGGCTCTCTGCCTGCCGGGAAGCTGGCTGCACTGTTGGACGGCTCTGGTTATTTTTACTTCCTTCTCTTTCTAGTTGAGATCTACCCTTCCAAAAGTCCCTAGATATAGTTCTTGTCTTCTTTCTGCTTTCTGGGGCCCTGAAGTGAACACCTGCTCCAGTCTTTTCTTCTCAGGGCTGAGGGCCTCCAGGATATGGTACTGACTCAAGCTGGTGATTTAATCCTTGAAGGTCCTGGAGCTGTCTAGACACCTCTCTGAGTATGCGCACACAATCTCAGGTTTGGCCTGAATAGTGCAGTGTATGAGGTCTGGGGTAGCACTCTCTATCTCCTCCCCAATTCTGAATATTATACCTCTATTAATGTAACCTGAGACAGTGGCTGATTTGGCTGTGCCTCCACCTACTCAGGACATCTAGTTTACCAACAATAAAGCCTAGTGGGCAGGAATCTCCCTTGCTTTGTTCTGTGGGACAGAAGATCTGGGGTCCTGATGCTTCTTACATCTAGAGAAGTCCACTCTGATTCTGGGCCTCTTCCATGTCCTCAGCAGCCCCACTGCTGTGTTCATTCAGCAGCTGCTCAGTAGCAACCGCTGGCCTTTCTCATCTGCCAGCTATTCACCCAGACAATCCGGGAATGCTCCCCTACAGATGGGAAAGCCCAGACCCCAGAGAGGTTAGGACACTTTCTCAAGATAATACAGCATGCTAAGACTGAGATGGGATCAGCATTCCTGACTGATATTTCCCAGAATGTCTCTGCCTCGGGCAGAGACAACTCTTTAGTTGGAGAGGAAATTAATTTTTCATGGAGCGAATCAGGAAGAGATGGGGGAGTAGGGAGGAGGCAGAGCCCCACACAGCTCAGAGGGCAGGGAGCCAGAGGGCCTCTGAAATATTAATGTCTCTTTCTCTCCTCAGGGGAATATGTTCCCTGGAGGATGACATTTCTAATTAACTTTCATGTCAGGTCAGAGTCCACCCCACCAGCTGCTATTCTCACTTTGTAAGAAGATTTAACAAATTAACACCAGAAAATAGTTCTCTGGAAACTTTCTCTGAGGCCGGGAGAGGCTGGGGGAGGCACACGGGCTCCTTTCTCCTGCCAAACACGGAGAGAAGCTCCTGGCTGAGTATTTCTTTCATCAGACGTGGCTTCTGAGTTTTTTTACATGTGGGGAAATTGAGGCAGGAAACAGGGGCCCAGTCCTACCAGTAATAAGCCATATGTACCCTTTCTCCTTCCTAGGCCCCAGATTTCCCTCTGGGAAGGGGGGAAATCTGGAAAGTGAGCCAAAATTCAAGACTACAAATTGCCCCATCCTGATTGTTCCGAAGCACAGGATAAGGATTGCAAATATGAGACCTCAGGGATGCAGCCCAAAGCCATTACCCCAAGAGAAAAATGTCTTTGATGGCTAATTTACACTAACAGTACATCCGAATTTTGTATTCTATTCCAAATATTTATCTGTCTGTTTAACATATAAATTTGCCTTAAAATCATCTTTGAGTAAAATTGGTGCTCCGAGAAAATGTCACCTGGCTGCCTGTCATTCAACCATGAACTCCAGTTTGAAAAAAAGAAATTGAGATTTGTTAAACAGTTACCCTGGGCCAAACGCTACATGTGCACTTCATATGCATCTTCTCATTTCATCTGCACAGCAGTCCTCTGAGGATGGTACTGTTTTCATCACCTCTTTACTGTTAAGGCAACTGAAGCTCAGAGAGGTTAAGCAAGTTGTCTGAGGTCATTCAGTAAATGGACTCCCGTGGAGAAGATGGAGCAGATTATCCCCACAGTTTCTGCCTGCTCTGAGGCCAGGATTATGTGGCTACATCCAGTCTCCTCAACATCCCAGAGCCCAACTCTTATCATTGGGCAGCTAGCCTCAAATAAGGGGAACGGCTTAGAAGCACCATTTCTTGGCCTGCCACATACCTGTGAAGTCAGAATTCACAGAGGCAGGCCTGGGAATGTGTTTAGAACACTGGACTTTTATGAAATTCAGAATGCTGGCTTGACCCTACCAAGGAATTCTTCAAGATAATGTATTTTCTCATTCATTCATTCATTCATTTTTTTTCTTAAGAGACAGGGTCTTGGTATGTTGCCTAGACTGGAGTGTAATGGCTATTCCCAGGCACCATCACAGGTCACTGCAGCCTCAAACTCCTGGCCTCAAGTGATCCTCCTGCCTCAGCCTCCTGAGTAGTTCAAGATAATGTATTTTTAAAGGTTGTTCCTGGTGCCATCACAGAAGATAGATTTGCTCCAGGGCCAGGTTGTGGTGATAGAGCACCCACCATGCCCCAAGTTGGGAATGACCAGGAAGGGATACACACGGGGTGGGGCTCATCTTCCAGGCATCCTGGCAGCGACACGAGGCAGCTGTGGCATGTGGTGTGTCAAAACTGCCTTAAAGCCTGAATCACAATTATACAAAAATGTTTCCTACATAACACAGTGCTCTTTTTCCCATCTCTATAGTCTAAGACAAAATATCTAAGCTGGTACTGCCGAGTTCCCTCCAGGTCGATGGCCTTTTTTTATATTTCGGAGACCACTGCCCCCACCACCACCACCAAGCATCTCTGCTACACACCTGAGTGTGTGAACCACTGAGCTCCCTGTCCTGGGGAAGGAGGATGCTGGCTGCTAACAATGGAGGATTTGGTGTCCCCAAGGCAGAAGTCAGCAGTCCCTGCCCCTTCCTCCAAGCTCCAAGCCCACTTTCTACTACCAGGGCCTTCAGAGTGGTGGTTACCAGCCAGGCTCTAGAATCCGACCGCCTGAATTCAAATCCTAGCACCATCCTTATGAGGACCACAGAGTACAGGACCACAGAGTACAGGCCAAAGTACTCGGCCCCTCTGTTCTCTGTTTCCTCAGCTGTAGAATGAGGATCACAGCAGCACCTACTTCATGGGCTACTGTGACGCTCCAGGAAGTCAGTCCGGATAAGGTGCTGGGACCGGGGCTAGTGCATGGCAAATGCTTCATAAATGGCAGCGCTTATTTTGTTTTGATCCCACTCATAATCCTATCAGTTACCTGGCGCTTTGCTTCCTCCCCCACCTGAGAGCTTTTGAGGACTGCTGGCCACGAGCTCCCGTGGCACCAGCATCTTTGGTGGGTCTTACACAGTGTTTCCCATACTCCAGCCACCGGAGCTTTCTCGATTTTGGCTCTCCCTTCCTTTACTATTACTTCACGTTTTTACAATCAATTCACTTTTATAAAAAACTCAAAAACACTTATTTCAAAAGGAACATGTATACCATTACCATACATTTATGACTTGAATATGTTAAATATTTCTCTAATACACATTAAATATATAACCTCTAAAATAAGAAAACCAGCCGGGCGTGGCAACTCACACCTGTAGTCCCAGCACTTTGGGAGGCCAAGGCGGGTGGATCTCCTGAGGTCAGGAGTTTGAGACCAGCCTGGCCAACATGGCAAAGCCCCGTCTCTACCAAAAATACAAAAAGTAGCTAGGCGTGGTAGCTGGTGCCTGTCATCCCAGCCACTTGGGAGGCTGAGGCGGGAGGATCACGTGAACCCAGGAGGTGGAGGTTGCAGTGAGCGGAGATCATGCCACAGCACTCCAGCCTGGGTGGCAGAAAGAGACTCCATCTCAATAAGATAAAATAAAAATCAATAAATAAGAAAACTTTTCTACACACCAGCAGTGGGTCTAGTGCCCCCCATGGGAATGGTGCCTGCCAGTGTGCCATTTATAAGAACCACAGCGATGCTCTCTGCAGACGAGCAAGAAATGAGGTTGGCACGTGGGAGCTGTCAGGAAGGGGGTCTGCCCAGCTGGTTCCAGGACCTGAAGGCCCCTCCCTACCTTTGGTGTCTTCATCCTCGATGGTGGTGTTGGTGCTCTCTGAGGATTCCTGCCAAAGAGAATATAGGAGACGGTGAGGCCTGCCTGGGAGCAGGACGAGGCATGGCCAGGCCCTGGCTGCCTGGTGACGCGGCTGGTTTCTGTGAGCCTCTCAGGCTCTGCCTTCCGGATGCTGTTCTGAAAACCCTGTTGGACTCTCAGCCTCGAGAGGGGGAGGGCCCAGCTGAGCAGGTGGCCGGGGGCTGGGGTGAGGGAGAGGGATGGCTGCAAGGAGAACCCTGGCCTTTCTGGAAGGGCTGAGGAGGGGGTTCCTGGGTCCTTTCTGCTCGAGAGGGTGAAGAAGGGGTGTGGAGGGGCAGAGAGACATCGTGGCGGCTGCAGAGTGGGGAGGAACACATCCTGGCGGGGAGGAAGAGAGAGAGAGGGAGGCCCAGTGTGAGAGACAGTGGGCTCTTGAGAGGGTAGAAAAACCACACGACTGAGTGAGACAGCGATGGAACCAGAAGAGGGAGGTGGGCCAGCATGCCACCACTGGACCCTAGACAGAGGCGGGGCTGGTGGTCCCCTGCCACCGGCGGGCCTGGTAGCCTTACACCAGCTCAAGAGGGGCCTCCGTGGCACCTCCTACTTTGGCCAAACCAAGCCCCACCCTCGCCGCGACTGGCACAAACCAAGCCTGAGATGAGTTCTAGAGCAGAGGGGCAGGGAGAAGCGAGAAGCCAAGGGCTGGACATAGGATTAGGTTCAGATCCACCTTCACACCGAGGGAGGGCTCAGGTCTGCTTCAGACTGCTGGTCTGGGCCGTGGAGTTGGAGGTGTCAACAGAAACACGCAAACAACACACACACACACACAACACACATATTGTCACACAAGGCACACGTACCAAGCACGCCCTGAGCACCCTCTCCCCGCCCCAGGTTCCCAGTGCAGCCTGCAGGAGGGAGGCAGGAGCAAGGGTTTGAGGCCCAGCATTTACCGGCGATAGAAGACGGCAGACACTCACCATTAACTGAACGCTGGAACTGGACTTTCTTTTCTGGAAAAACAAGGAGAAGAGATGGGACAGGAAAAGACACAGCGTGAAAACGGCAGGGAGCAGAGGAACGACAGGGGAGGTTTGGGAGGAGGATGGGCCTCGGGGTCATCCTCTGTAGTCCTTTGTTGGCTTGGCATCGGGACAAGGAGTCAAGGAGTCAAGACCACCAGCAACAGTTGACTGGCAGAGCCAGTCCTCGGCCTGAAGCTCTGGGTCCTCATGCACGCTGCCTGGGTCTAGCCATCTAACAGCCAAGCTCATGGCCAAGCCTCTCTGGGACCAGGGCCACCCACCCTGCCTAACTCTGATGGCAAAAGCCAACCCTGGTTCTGGATGCCAGTCACTGGAGGCCTCCAGAATCCAGTGCTCTCGAAGGACAAAAGGTGCTCAGGCCTGGAGGTGAGGCCCAGTGTCTTCTCCTAGGCTCCCCATGCATCTCGGCCAGGAGGACCTCATTCCCAATTGACTGTCACAGTCACTTGGGAAACTTGTTTCAGTAAACAGAACCAGGTCCCCCTGAGGAGTCTGATAACTAGGTCTGGGGCGTGGCCTGAGCATCTCCATTTTAAACAATATCTGCAGGTGATGCCAAAGCAGGGGCAAGCGTGGCAGCCAGTCCTCTAAGTGGCCTTTGAAATCCAGCTTGCATTCACAGCCTCCGGTGGCTGGCCTGTTCCACTCCTTTATGCTGATGGAGAAACTGAGGCTCAGTGAGAGGTGGAGCTGAGTCTAGAACTTGAGTCTTCTGGCCCTGCCATTTAGCCTATACTAGCATTTTGGGGATTTGTAGCAACCTCTGTATTGGCTGTGGAACCAAGGGAAGGAGAGGGGGACAAATGTAAATTACCTTCTCCTTCCCTCAGCTCTCTGAGCCAGGAGTCCTAAAGACTCCCATTCACAGAAGGTAGCAAGTGAAGACTGACTCTTGCATTGCACAGATGAGAAACTGAGGACCAGAGAGGTACAGTCGCCTGCCCAAGGCCTTGCGGCAAGCCACTAGCAGAGCTGAGGCTGGAACCAGGCCCTACCTGCAGAGCTCTTTCCTCTGTCCAGGTCTCCAGGTACCCAGAGCTCGACCCCTCTCCAAAGGCTCATCCTATCCTAGATGCCCTTACACCACAGAGGCCGGGAGGCCCCTCTCCCTGCCGCAAAGAAGGGACTCGAGGAGCCCACAGGGTAGGCCTTCACCATGAGAGGCACTGGATATGCCTTGAGGGTCTCAGGTCTAATTCTGGGTTTCTGACTCCAAGATCCAGTGAGCCTCTGCCTGCCAGGAACTCAAGGCCCTGTGCCTTCCATCCAGGGCCTCCACAGAGGTGACAGGATGGCTCACTGGGCACTTCCAATGCCCATGTGCTCACAGAGGCATAAACGCTCACAGACCCTGCATCTTCCCCAGCTGGGCTGGATGGTGTGGCTTCAGCCGTCAGCAACCAGCAGTCAGCCCCTCCTCTCCTCCCCTCCCTTCCCCTCTCCTCCCTCCTCTCCTTCCTCTTTTCTTCCTCTCCTCCCCTCTCCCCTTCCCTCTCTCCTCCTTCCTGTTTTCTTCCTCTCTCCTCCTCTTCTCCTCTCCTCTCTCTTTTCCTCCCATCCCTTGCCCTCCTCTCTCCTCCTTCCTTCCTCTCCTCCTCCCTCTTTTCTTCCTCTCTTTGTTCCCTCCTCTTCCCTCTCCTCCACCTCCTTCCTCTCTTCCTTCTTCTCCTCTTTCCTGTCCTCTCTCTGTCCTCTCCTTCCTTCCCCTCCCCCTCCTCCTTCCTCTTTCTTCTTCTCTTCTCCTCTCCCTTCTCTTCCTGCTCCTCAATTCCTCCTCCTTTCCCTCTTCCGTCTTTTCCTCCTTCCTCTCCTCTCTTCCCCTCCCCCTCTCTTCTTCCTCTCTTCTCCTCTCCCCTCCTCTTCCCTCTCATCTCCTCCTCCTCTCTCCCTTCCCTCTTCCCCCCTTTCCTCCATTCCCCTCCCCTCTCCCCTGGTTGTCCTCCCTCCCCGGCTGGAGCCAGGCCAGGCACAGAATGGGGAAGGGGCCCGGCCCCACACAGCTCAGCTGTCAGCAGAAACCTGAGGAGCCGCACGGGGGCCAGGAGGTTCCAGGCGGGACACGAGGAGGGAACACAGAGCAGAGACTGCATCAGATTCGGACGCACAGTGACAGGATGGGACATGGGGAGAGAGGTCACGACGCACAATGGGACACCAACAGGGGCAGTGAGTGGGCTGAGTGGGGTGAGCAGTAGGCCCTCCTCCTAGAAGTCCAGGCCTAGGGGTGGCCGGGAGCGGGACGTTGCTTCTTGGTGACAGGAAGGCTTAACTTCCCTGAATCACAAACGATGATGCTAATAATCTTGCATTGACCAGCACTTTAGAGTTTAATTTACAGGGACTTTCACCAAAGGTAGAAATCTCCTTTCACTAAAAGCAGAAATCACCTCTCTTAGAACCACATGTGGAAGCTTGGTTTTAAGGTTAGCAAGGATGACAGAAACTGAGTATGGTCAAAATTAGCCTTGAAAAGCCCTTAAAGGCCCGTAAAGTACAATACAGCATCATAGGTCTGCCATTCCTACAGTGTGGAGCCAGTCGCTGCCTCTTCAGTTAAGCCCGGATGAAATGGGGTGCTCTCCAGCGGTAGGAGGAACGTGTGCCTCCCCACTGGGCTGAAGGTGAGTCGGTTAAAGGAGCCTGCGCTGTGGCTCCACCAGGCCCCTCTGGTGTGACCCTCTCACCAACGCTCTGCAAAGAGCTGTGGTGCTCCCCTGGCCCAGGCAGCAGAGCCTCCGGCCTGGGTCCCCCAGGGAGAGAATGGGGGGGCTCAGACTGGAACCCATGGCTTCTTGACTGCGGTCCAGTTTCACTCATACTGAAAACGCGCCTGGACCCCCAGCTCCACCATTCTCCCCACGCTCCTTCCGGGATCAAAACATGGCGGGCCAGGCTTCCCAAATCCTGGGCCAGGCCCCCAGGTTATTCCCATCTTCCAATAGGACTTCTTCCCTCCTCCATCCACGGGAGTGAAGGAAGCTGAGCTACAAAGAGACGGGGGGGCCAGGAGTGGCCTTTGAGCTCCTCTTGTTCCACACCCAGGCCGCCCTGAGATGTCTGTCCTGCGCCGCAGGAAGCAGTGATGCTGTGTTCAGCTGCACCCATTGGAAAGCCTGCAGTGGCCTGCAGAGCCCCACCATACTGCGAGCTGTCCTTGCCATCTGGAGCTTCCGCCTCCTGGCCTTGCCCTAAAAGAGCTAATTAGCATTTCTTCCCAAGAACCAGCCTGATGGAGGCCTCTCCTGATCCCTTGCCCAGACTCTACCAGGGCCACATCCAAGAGCCAAGCAGATCACGGCAGCTTCTCTCTCTACCTCCTTCTCCTCCAGTAACCTGCGCCACAGCCCACCAGCGCCTGTGGCCTCTGTCCCCAGATCCCCCAAACCAGAGCCAGGGAGTCTGCTTTCCCCAGGAGGTCCAGCACCCCTAGCTCAGCGTCTCCACATAGGGGTCAGAGAGGGCCCCAGCTACTCCAAAGCTGGCAGCCCCCCCACATTGTACAGCCCTCCGTTACCCCTACACATGGAGGGGCGGGGGGTTGGCTCAGGGTAACCCAAAACAGTGGGCAAGCCAAAATTCAATGCCAGATTCCATTACAGGATTTGGGATGAGTGCCTGTTAACTTTCTAAATTGAGTTGGCTTTAGATCTGTGGTTTTCAAATATTCTTGAGAAAACTTTGTCTTCGAGAGAAATCTAACCCAGAAGCCTAATATATGAAACAGAGGAAAGATAATGGAGCCTAGCATCGCGTGCATGTGGATTGCTCGCCAGCACCATGCTAAGCTCTCAATGAGCTTTGTATTAGTTAATCCTCACTAATGGCCGTAGGAGTTGGAGACCTCTTTTAGCCTCATTGCATGAATGAAGAAGCATAGGCTCAGGGAATATAAATGCCCAACCAAGGTCTAGCTGCAGGCAAGCCCAAGGTCTCTCTTCACCACCGCCATATTCTGGTTGAAGTGGGTATGAGAAGCTCAGACCCTTGTAAACCAGGCATCCCCCCTCCCTAATCCCACTGCACCCCATCGGCTGCCCCAGTCAGTACCTTTGGGCTCTAAAGAGTTCAGTTTGAAAACCACTGACCTGGACTAATAACCGAATCATTATGTATTCCTCTAGCACCCAAGATAAGAAGCGTGAGTGATTAGACAGAATTTTGTTGCCTTTTTTTTTTTTATTAAAGCTGTCATCTTGGAAATGATCATCAAATCCACACCGCACTCATTGTAGCTATGGAAAATTCAAGCTGAGAGAAGGCCAAGGGCAGAGCAGAGACCCAGTCCTGGCCATGGACATCCAGCCCATGCTTCTTCCCATGCAACCTTGACAGACCAAAACCAGCAGCCGGAGACCACAAATCCCTCTTTAGACAAAGCCCTCAAGCCACCAGCACACCTGGCTGTATCCACACAGCATCCCACACCTTCCAATGTCCTGGGCACACCCCACCCCTGGGGCCCAGGCCAGGCAGGGCTCTGAGGCCAGAAAAAGGCAGGGTCTCAAGAAAGGATAAGATTGAGTGGCAAAGGAGGAGGGAACTGCAGAGAGCAGGGGCCAGGCCCTGGAGAGCAGAGGAAGAAGAGAGAAGAGACGGGAAGGAGGACCGCAGGGAGTGGAGGGGAGTAACTCGGGCTCTGGGGATGGCCAGGGCAGGCCCGTGGAGCGGGCAGGGGATTCTGGCACTGAACCAGCACCACTCGGCCTTGGAGGGAGGGGGCACCTTGGAACCCAAAGCCTGGAGAAATGGCTGTCCATCCTCCATGGGCTTTCTGGGTGGGACTAGGGTGTGCAGCGGGGCAGAGGCTCCATCCAGCCCACGCATAGGCAGGACAGAGGTCACCCCCATGACCATTTTTGCCCTCTCCTTGCACCATCTCTTGCACACCAGCTCTCCAGCCCTGGAGAACCACAGAAATCTTCTGACCTGCCCCTTGCCTTGCACCTGCCCCAGCCCCAGGACATCTGTCACTTCCACCCTCCTCCAGTCCCCCCCTCCCATCTGCCTCCAACAGTCACGGTGAGACGGTGGCCACTGAAGCCCACGTTGTGGGTCTGGAGACAGGCTGGCCACGAATGTGACCCACGTCTGCCCAGGGCACCATCAGCAAGGCCCAGGTCTTGCTCCAGGCCTGAAAGCCAGTCTCCATTGGCAGAAATGCTGCCAGAATCAGGCCCTGCCAGGTCCCGGAGGGGCTTACCTTCACACCATCGCTCTTCTTGTTTCCCCCACTCTTCCCTCCTGTGGAGGAGAAAAAGTAGAGGGTTAACAACACCAGGCAGGGCACCAGGGCCCACAGGGCGAGGAAGAGCAGCATCCACGCGCAGCCGGAAGGGGAGCAGAGCTGGCCCAGCGATCCTGGGGGAGGCCTCCTCCTCCTCCAGCTCCCTCCTTGGAGGCCCAGGGACTGCCAGTCGCCCGCTGGGTGGGCCTGGGTTCCCCGCCTTCTCAGCAATCTCAAGCGTAACCCTCTGGCTTCATGGTTTGAGGGAGGTGTCCAACATGTCCCAGGACTGCAGGCTGCTGTTTCAGCCTGGGGATTCCCTCTGAATCTTGGTCACCACCGTGCTGGCGGCCAACCCAGAGGCCCCGCTGCCTGGCCCCAGGCTAGACACGCCCTCCCCGCCCTGGCCCTCTCTAATTTTAGCCCCATGCTGCTTCGGAGGTCATGTGTCAGCCCTGCCTACTCACTATGGACAGCTGCAGGCTGCGTCTTGCCAGTGACAAGAAGCAGATGCCCCCACTGGGGCCCACCCTGCCAAAGCACCCATCCCCTGCTTCTCTCCTCAGGCCACACAGGCCTCCCCATGCTGCCGCCGGCTACAGCCCAGGTGACAGGGATAAGCAGAGCAGCAGCTCCCTGGGAGCCTCCCCTGCTGCCATTTCCCCTTACCTCCCTCCTTACTTCCCGGCCAGAGCCCTGGAAGTGGGCATCAGCCAGGAAATGGCCTAAATGTCCAGCCCTGCCCACTGGCATCTGACTGCTTCTGACTTAAGCAAATACCTTCAACGAAACAGGGCATCTGTGAAGTACTTAGCACAGCACTTGACCCCTATGCCGCAGATGCTCAGGAAATGGTAGCCATGATAAGGCTTCTCCTGGAGGCCTTGAGAGGGGGAGCTGAGAGGAGGGCCATACGAGTCACTGATGTCCCAGGGGCTCTGAGAGATGGGGCTTATGGCAGGTTACCTTCCCAGTCACCCCCATATTTCTACCTATAACCCCTTCAAGGCTCCCACTCAAAGTTCCCTACTTGGAAACCAAGGCAGGGGCCACCTCTGGATCCTGAAGCTGATGGGAATGGCCATCCATTTGACACAGGCTTTGGGGGGTTGGACTAGGATTGGCTGTGGGGCGGGGGGGGTGCTTTCTCCTCCAGCCTCAAGGCGGAGGCCTCTCTCAGCTCCAGCCCACTGTCACAGGATTGGGGGTCCAGTGAGGCCACAGTGTCTGATTTTCTTTTCTTTTTTTTTTTTTTTGAGACGGAGTTTCGCTCTTGTTACCCAGGCTACCCAGGCTGGAGTGCAATGGCGCGATCTCGGCTCACCGCAACCTCTGCCTCCTGGGTTCAGGCAATTCTCCTGCCTCAGCCTCCCGAGTAGCTGGGACTACAGGCGTGCGCCACCATGCCCAGCTAATTTTTTTTGTATTATAAGTAGAGACGGGGTTTCACCATGTTGACCAGGATGGTCTCGATCTCTTGACCTCGTGATCCACCCGCCTCGGCCTCCCAAAGTGCTGGGATTACAGGCGTGAGCCACCGCGCCCGGCCTCAGTGTCTGATTTTCAAAAGACGACAGAAATCTGGGGTTTTCTATGAAATCTCCTAATTTTTAAGTGTTAGAAACTCATTCAAGAAAAAAATTTTTTAAACACCTCTCCCTCCACAAAGCATATCAAGAGATTGAGTCCAGCTCACAGCCCGCCATTTTGCGAGCTCAGGACGAGCTCTCTAGGGTGCTTCTGTTGTTAAAAAAAGACTCTGACTGTCTGGGAGCTCATCTTTCAGTTTATGGAATGGCAGGATCCTTGTCCAGGGAGAGGGTGGGAAGGCAGTTCAACGAGGCGGGAAAAGCCCAGTCAGAAGTTCCAGTATCTGCCCACCTCTGGGTCTCACTCCTGCCCCAGTTACATGGGCAAGTGGACCTACTCAATGCAGACGGCTGCCCTTTCCTCAGAGCTGCCGTCTTGCTGTGGTGCTGGCTACAAGTCTGCAGCAGCTCTCTCGGCTGGCCCCGGCCCCAGTCAGAGGGCCCTTCGGGTGAGCTTTGCTCTATCGGCTATGTATATCTGCTCTGCAGCCCGCCAGCGGCCTGCACTCCCCAGAAGGAAGCCTCTGCGGGCACGGGCCCAGCCCTCTCTGATGTGCCAAGAGCAGCTTCTTGCTAAATCCTGATAATAATCCCTTCCCTCCTCTCTGCGAGGCCACATGCCTCAGGTAATTGGGCACTCCCTGCCTTAACCAGCCCACTTTGGCCAAGGGTCTGGGAGGCTCCTGCCCTGGACTCCCTGGTGACCTAGCCCACGTAAGGGCACTTGCTCTGGGGTTGGTCAAACCTGTGCTGAATGCAGGCTCTGCCTCTCTAGCCATGTAGCTTGGGGCAAGTCAGAGCTCACCTTCCTGCGCTTCTGCTTCCTCATCCCAGAAATAGGGATGGCAGCACCCCGGAACCCCGTCTGCTGCCTTGTCATGAAGGCCACCTGAGCACACACACGGGACTGCTTAGCGCAGAGCTCCAGTCATGGTGGGCAATATTGTTACCCCCTAAGCCTGGCTCCACCCCGCAGAGACCTCAGCCCTGCAGTCGGAAGCCATCCCCTCCTGGCCACCCAGCATTGCTGGAGGAGTGGGGAGCCAGACTAACCCTCTAACCAGTCCTGATGGGCCCTGGGCTTGCTGACTTTTGACCTCTCTTCGCTTCTGGGTACAGGCCGTGGCAGGTGAGCTAAGCCCCCAGCCACAGAGTCCTCTGTAACTCCCATTCTCCCCAGGCCCGGTGGCACCCAGATATCCGACAGGACAGTGCCCCCAGGGAACGGGTGCAGGGCTTACTGGGGACCCTGAGGTCCTGTCACCTACCGGAGAAGTTCCTGGTGGCCAGCATTGTGGTGAGAATGGCTCCCTGCAAGAGATAAGAGGAGGGCAGTGGGAGAGGAAGCCAGAGGGAGGGGACACAGGAGGGACAGAGAGGCGGGAGGATCACGGGAAGGAGAGGCAGGTTCTGCATTCCGAGAGGAAGCCAAAGCTTCTGCCCTGCCCTCCATCTGTCCCAACCCCAACCCTGGCCCAGAGCCCATCCCTTGCCCCCTGAGAAGTTGGGGTGAGCTAGGCTTTAGCCAGCACAGCTCCTAGGACAAGGTCAAACTAGGAGCAGATATGAATAGGTCCCTCAGCCTGGCCCAAGCTGATGAAGTTGAGGGAGCCTCCTGAAGACCAGGGACTTTGCTTGCTTGGGCAGCAACAGCAGACCTTGCCTCCCCCGACCCCTCCACCTCTTAGCCCTCTGCCCTGTGCTGAAAGCATCCTGCTCCAGGACTAGTTCGTCCCTCCATGAACCCTGGGCTCAGAGAATCCTGGGAGGATTCTTAAGGTAGAGAAAGCCTCTTCCATCAATAAGCAGGCTGGGGGCTGATGGCCCCTCTGGTTCCAGAGCCATCTGATTCAGACCTGACTTGACACTGTCTGAATCCCGCTGTGTATGATGTTAAGAGTTCCTGATTCTGGTATTTTGAGACTTCCTCTGTGACATGGCTTCCACCGCAGGACGGGGGTGGGACTCCGTTCTCCTGGCATCATGCCAGCCACCACCCGTTGGTGTGTGTCCCCATCCTGAGCCTCCACTTGAAGCCTGGAGGCAGCAGGTAAGGAGGTTCCACATGCGCTGGGGCCTCCACCTCTTCCTCACATACTCAGTGTGCTGACGGCTCTTCTGTTCCACTGGCCAGGGGCCCCTCGCCGCCCTGAGAGCACACAGAACCTGCGAGCACGTGAAGCTGTGGGCCCACCTGGGTCCCACTGAGCCTCTCGGGGCCATGATCACTGTCTGAGTGCCTCAGCCATTCCTCCACAGTACTTGGCAGCTGGGGCCCCTTCCCATACCAGGATCTCCTGTCCAGTCACATCTCACCCCCAAAAGCTCTCCCCAGGCACTCTGAACCACTTGTGGCACCCCTAAGGGGTCATGTGCACTTCCAGACTTCTGCACAGGCTGTTCTCTCTGTCTGGAACACATTCCCTTGTTGTTGTGTGTGTGTGTTTTTTTTTTTTTTTTAGACAGAGTCTTACTCTTATTGCCCAGGCTGGAGTGCAATGGCATGATCTCGGCTCACTGCAACCTCCACCTCCCAGGTTCAAGCGATTCTTCTACCTCAGCCTCCTGAGTAGCTGGGATTATAGGCATGCACCACCACGCCCAGCTAATTTTTGTATTTCTAGTCGAGAAAGAGTTTCATCACATTGGTCTTAAACTCCTGACCTCAGGTGATCTGCCTACCTCAGCCTCCCAGAGTGCTGGGATTACAGGCGTGAGCCACCGAACCCGGCCACACTTTCCAATTCTGACTCTAACTTTGGCTAATATCTGCTTATCCTTCAAGGTCTCAGCTTAAACGCCCCTGGCTCCAGACCCAGAATGCCAGTGACTGGCTGTGTTCTCCCACCACCTTGCGGCTTACCCAGGCACGACACTCACTCACTACTGCCCTGTAACGTCCCAGGTTCTTGTCTGTCCTCTTCTCTAGAGCAAGGGCTCAGTCACACACCGCTCACTCCCCAAGCTCAGCCCACCGTTCAGCATGTAGTAGGTGTTCAATAAATGCTTATTGAATCAGTGAAGGAAAGAACTAGCGAGCGAGTCTCCTGGCTTCGGTGGAGACCCAGGCAGAGCTAGTCCCATGTCTGGGACTGTGGAGGGTGAGGACCTGTTACCTTCAGTTTCCTTCTGGCGTTGAACTTCTTCAGGCAGTCCACGGTCTCCTGTCTGTGCATACAGGATGCCACGGTGGAGCGGTGCTGGAGGAAGTGGGGGAGAGGGCTGTGAGCGGAAGGCAGGCTGGAAGACAGGCACACCCAAGGGTACCCCTCAGCAGGGTGTCTTAGGGGATGTTTCAGGGTGCTTAGCATCCTGGCACCGGACATTCAATGCCAGTAGTACCCTGAGTTGTAAGCCAACAAACAATCCTCGTTTCCACACTACCCCTGAGAACCACAGGAAGGGCAGTCTCTTGGATCAAGTCTTCTCAGCCCCCATGGGCCAGGGCCAGGGCCAGAACTCTGTGGGGGCCTGGACTATGAGGTCTGGAGGGGCTCCTGGGAGAGGTCCTGCTGAGGGAGGCTCACCGAGATCCAGGGGTGCTTTAGGGCTTCGGCAGCTGTGATGCGTTTCGATGGGTTAATGGTCAGCATCTTATTGATCAGGTCCTTGGCTTCTGGGGTGACGGTGTCCCATTCCGGCGACGGGAACTGGAAGGGGCAGAGGGGCCAGGTTTGCCCAGCCTGCCCCAGGCCACCCCTGCGATCCCCCAGCCCCTGACTGGCAGGGGAGCAGGCAGGGGTCCTACTGCCCATCCACTCGGGCATCCACACCAGGAGGAGTTGGGGCTCCTCACTGCAGGGGAGGGGCAGGGCGCCCTGGCCCCATACAAATCAGAACACAGCGGAAGGAAAGGAGGCCTCCCTCCATCCATCATTCCAAGACTGCCTTATTTGGAGAGCAGCCGGCCAGGGGCTTTAGCCAGACTTCAGAATCAAAAGGCCTGGGTTGAAGTCCTGGCTCTGCCCCCTGGGCTGTGTCACCTGGGCAAGTCACATGACCCCTGGAGCTATCCCTAGAGATATTTTGAGAATTAAATACAATATGAAACATATAGCACATAGCTTAATAGCTATCTGCATAAAAGCAATATAGCTTGGTAGTTAGAAGCATTAATGGTAGAGCCAGACTGCCCGGGTTCAAATCCCAGCTCCACCATTTCTTAGCTATGTGATTTGGGCAGTTACTTGACCTCTCTGTATCTCAGCTTCTCTGTATGTAAAACGGGAATAATAACAGTACGTATGTCATAGATTGGCGTGGGGATTCAATGTAATAATATGTATAAAACATTCAGAAGAGTGCTATAGAAGTGTTAGCTATTATGATTATTTGTATAGATGAGAGAGAAAGAGAAAACCTGGCTTGGGAGGCTGCCTCTCCCCTACTCCTCACTCCTTTTGGTGCCGCTTCTTGCCTTCCGGGGCCCCACAGGATACTCCAATCATTAGGCACAGCATGGTAACCACCTGGCCCTGGTCAGTCTTCGTGCTCCCCTGGGGTTCACCCCTGCACCAGGACTAGACAGTGGCTTGGCGTCGGCTTTCATTGAAAGGACACCAGAGGATGATGGGGTCTGAAGAGAGGAGCGACACTCACATCATAGGCGCCGGCTTTGATCTGCTGGTATAGGCGGTGCTGGTCCTCATCCCAGAATGGGGGGTACCCAACCAGCAGGATGTACAGGATGACCCCTGGAGAGAGGATCAGAGAACCTTCAACCCCCTGTGGGGTGAAGACATAGGCGGAGGGGTGCGATGGGAAAGGAGAGAGGTGGTCCCAGATGCCAGGGGGCAGCCAGGGGCACAAAAGGGCCATAGGATGAACTCACCACAAGCCCACAGGTCCACGGGCTTCCCGTATGGGTCCTTCCGCAGCACTTCTGGGGAAAGGTATCCAGGAGTCCCTGCAAACCCTGCTCCCAGACACACAGACAGGCAGAAACATACACAGAGTTGTCTTGTAAGTAACTTGCAGCAAGATCCTGCTGGAAGAGGGAATGAGGGTTGCTCTGGAGTGGATGAAAACAGCCCCTGCCCCTCAGGTGCACTTGGGCTTATATTGTGCAAACCCAGTGGGCCCAAGACATAAGCCTGATGAGCCAGCAAAGCCTCTAGATCAGATTGACACCTAGCACACCTGTCACCACTTCCCACTCCAGAGCCAGTGGTAGATAGCAGTCATCAGTCACAGAGCTCCTTCCCGCTGGGTCCCCACTCAGGATCATCAACTTCTCAGCACCACTCTTCCAGGAGCCACTAGTGATCCATTGCTGGTGGCCTCAAGACGAAATGTACTTGCCGTGTCAGCCCCAGGCTGAGAGGTGGGCCCTGGCCCACTCTGCACCCCCTTGTTGGAGTTGGTCATGGGACATCAGGAGGCCTGTCCTAACTCTGACTTTGCCCCTTGGGTAGGTCTCTTTATCTTCTAGTCCTTGTTTCCTCATCTGTCAAATGAGGGATTAGGGATTCCTGTCTTAAGTGCCTCCCAGTGTTGTTGAGAGGGTTAGTTGAAATAATGAAGACACAAGGTATTCTAACAAGTAATCTTAAGAACAGTTCCGAGTTACTGCGTGTATATGCTAAGCGGTGGGCTGAGCACTTTATATGCTTGGTCACATTTAATCCTCACACCACTCTTGAGGAACATCCAATTCGTGGTGTGTGTGTGTGTGTGTGTTTTGTTGTTGTTGTTGTTTGAGACAGAGTCTCATTCTTTTCGCCCGGAGTGCAGTGGTGCAGTCTCGGCTCACTGCAACCTCCGCCTCCAGGGTTCAAGCGATTCTCCTGCCTCAGCCTCCCGAGTAGCTGGGATTACAGGCATGCGCTACCATAACCAGCTAATTTTGTATTTTTAGTAAAGATGGGGTTTCTCCATGTTGGTTAGGCTGGTGTCGAACTCTCGACCTCAGGTGATCTGCCCATCTCGCCTCCCAAAGTGCTAGGATTACAGGTGTGAGCCACCGAGGGCCAGGCAGGAACATACAATTCTTATTCCCATTTTACAGATGAGGAACGAAGGCACGGAGAGGTGAAGTGACTTAGCCAAAGTCACATACCTTATAAGTAGCAGAGTCAGGATTTGACCCCAGAACTCTGGTTCTTAACCATGGCTCAATATTGCCCACTAAAAAGTACTCCCAGGCAGCTGAAAGAGACCCAGTTATACCAAAATCACAAAGTAGGCTGGATCATCTGAGTTTAAGTCCTAGTGTACCCCTTTTAAACTTTCTTGACTTTCTGCAAGTTTCCTGCCAGTTTTTTCCTCATCTATAAAATCAGGATGATAATCTCAAGCACCTAGACTATTAGGGCATCTCTGTGGAAACTTCCCTAAGGCCTTCAACCATAGGGAGGAGAGATGGTATAGGGGAGTGACAGGAAAGGAGAGAGGGGGCCCCAGGGAGCCCTGTGGAAGCCCGTAGGGTCCCATGCCTGGCCCCCAGGGACACAGATGGGTGCTGCCCACTGGCTCAAAGACTGGGTGGGGCAGGGCCTCTGCTCTACCAGTGTCGGCTGGCCCAACAGCATCTCCAGCCACACCCACTTGGGCAGGGGGTTCCCAGAAGCTGATGTATCAACACAAAGGAGTGGTGACCCCCAACACTCCTGCCAGCCCACCCCACTTACCAAACCATGCCTGCTGCTCCCCCTCCACCTCTATGGCCAGGCCAAAGTCCGCCAGCTTCACTGCGGCACCCTTGAGCTTGGAGGCCAGCAACAGATTCTCAGGCTTGTCAGGACCAGAGAAGAGGGATGAAGGGGAGAAAAGCGCCAAGAGACCGTCAGCAGATTCAGAGCCTCATCTCTGGGGGCCCGGGATCACAGGAAGAGCAGCTCAGTGGCCCCCCAGGGCCCCTGCCCCCACCTCCAGCCCCACCTCCAGCTCCTGAGTCTCAGTCCCCAGAGAGGGACTATCCTGTGGCAAGACCTCCGTCTGCTGCAACAGAAAGGCCCTTTCTCCATCAGCCACATCTCCCTCTCCACTTCATGGTCTGAAGCTGGGCTGAGGTGAGGGCGGGTAATTCGGTCACCACCGCAATAAAGCAGCAGCAGCAGCAGAATTGATTGTACCCCTACTATGTGCCAGCCGCTGGGTGAAGTGTTCTGCGTGCGTCATCTCATGTATCCTCTCAATGACCCTTTCAGGTAGGTATTATTACCTACGTTTTACAGTTGCCTTCTTACGTCCCTTGAAACGGTCCATCTTGTTTCAACCTCAGGGCCTTTGCACTTCCTGTTTCCCTCCTCTAATTTTTTCTCCCCTGAGCTTCACAAGGTGGGCCCCTTTACTTTGTCCAGCCCTCACTCTCATGTCACCCTGACAAGGAGGCCCTCCACGGTTAACTCTATCTAGAGGAGAAGCCCTCAGGTGCCCCCTGTCTTTACTCCTCTTTGCCACCTTCACAGATCTCATCGCAGTTTGCCATGTTTCCCCCTTTTGTCTATGTGCTCATTCATTATCTGTCAGGCCTGTGGAATGTGAGTTCCTTCTCTGTTCTGTTCACCACTTTATCACCAGCACCTAGGCTGCAGGGCCACTTAGCAGGCACTTAATAAGTATTTGTCATGTATATCAAGATGAGAAAACTAAGGCTCAGAGAGGTTAAGTGACTTGGCCAAGATCACACAGCTAGCAAGAGAAAGAGCCAGAATCGAGGCAAAGTCTGACTCCATCTTAACGGCTCTAGGCTGAAAGATGACGGGGCTTATATAACGGGCCAGCGGCTGACTTGGGAAGGTCCTGTACCTGGCCTCTGGGGCATTGAGGCTGCTGCTTTGCACTGGCTCAGCCTCCAGAATTTCTTCACTTCCTGCTGGTCCCTGTACCTTGGGACTCAGGATGGAGGAGAGCTAAGAGGGTGGGCTCACTTAGACAGTCCCCGTTTCTGATCCCAGTGCTGCCACCGCTATGCCATGACATGTGGGCAAACTATTTCACTTCTCTGAGCTTTAGTTTCCTGTGAGAAAAATGTCTACCTTGTGGGGTGGTGCATGGATTGACTGAGAAAGCTGATATTAGCACTTTGCTGTGGCCTACAGTCAGTGCTTGGTAAATGTTAGTATTCCTATTTTCTGCTTGGGGCGGGGCTCAGAGTCTCTGAAGACTGTTGGTTTCCAGTCCTCCTCTGACCGCCTTCCCAGTGGGACTTCTGAAGGGTCCCACCTCTGACCTTTCACTGTCTAAAGCTAGGCCGGATCCAAACAAATATAGCTTCTTCCACCTGCCTGGCTCAAAGGCATCCTTTGTCCTCTGGGGACGATGTTCCTAACATGTCCTGGGTCTCAGTAGCCGTCCTGCCCTGATTTGATGAATGTGTCACTAATTATTGTATCCAGAGTGGCCTAAATTTGGGCTGTCTCTCCTCCTTCCTCTTCCAGTGCAGGGGCTGCAGCTATAATGGGAACAGGCCCTCTGGGAGAGCCGGCCTGCAGTCTGGTTGGAGACCCTCTTCAAGTGCACACTTGCCTCATCTAGAATGAGCCACAGGGAGCTTGCCTGGGGCTCAGGAGAGAAGCCATGGCCTGCCAGGGTGGTCAGAGAGGGGCAGGGCCATCTTCAGAGCACTGTGCCCCAAAGAGGGATCCAGACCCAGGGAAGCACGCCCAGGGAGGGTGCCCAGGATGAGGCTGGCCTGGAAATCACATTCCAGTGGAAGTGTGGCAGGGATAGGTACACACTGCAGGGGCTCAGCAGCTACAACAAAGCTGCCGGAGTCCCTCTAGGGATCTTCCAAGCTGGAGGCTTGGTCTGTGTGTGGCTCCAAATGGCAGAACTTGGGATCAGGGCAAAACCCCTCCAGCTCTACCTTCCTAAGCTCAGTTTCCTCATCTGAACAGTGGGAAAAATAATCTTGCCCACCCTCCCCCGCCACACACACTTTCAGTCTAACTCAGAAAAATTAAAGGGATTCTGATCATGTCCAGCTCTGCAGGAGGAGGGATGTGCAGAGGGGAGAGGGGCTCCCGGGGTGAGCTGCACCCACGGTGGGTTGCTCACCTTCAGGTCCCGGTGCACCACCCCCATCTGGTGGCAGTGCAGCACAGCCTCCAGGATCTGCTGGATACAGTGACTAGGGAGAGAGAGAGGAAGGGGTCACGGTGGTGTGAGCACAGGCCTCCCCTGGGAAGCTGACAGGAGGCAAGAATGCCCTGTCCCTGGGCACCATTGCCAGGCAGCTCTTGACACTCACCTGGCATCTGCCTCACTGTAATACTCCCGGGCCACGATGTCTTCAAACAATTCCCCACCAGTGACCCTGGGGAGACAGGCATGGAATTACCCTCCAATAGAGGCAACCCCAGGTGCTGCCTCATCTGCAGGAGTCTCCAGGAAGCTAAGGATAGGGCTCAGGGACCTCAGGACCTCAGTCACAAAAGGAGGGGCCCCAGGGCTACTGGGGTGTCCCCTGCTGCAGTCCCCTTCCTGTCTTCCATTGCACCCTTCACTGACTCCAGTCCCCTCTCCTCCGCCATCCCTGGCCCTTCTTCCCCACCTGGGCCAGGCTGGAGTCCGGAGGTTAGCAACATTCAGAGCACATCACGAGGCTCATCAGGAAGCCTATGGCATCTCCTGTGATCAATATCTCAAGAGCTATTTTTTATCGATGAGGCTGGCCCCATCACTGATTTTTGCTGCCATCCCAGGAACTACTGAGGTCTATCGTTTCATTATTGCTTTTCTTTGAATCAACATTCTTCAAAAAAAATTAAACATATTCCAGAAGGAAACTTTATATTGCCACTGAAAATGGAAAACCAGCATCACTGGCCACAAATAGAAGAGAAGCAAAAATAAATATAGGATGAAAGCTAAAAGTGTTTGTTGGTGTTTTAGGAAAGTCAGCTTGCACTGCTTGGGTAGCAGGCCCGACACATTTGGGGAAACTCTGGACCACAGGAAGGAATTCAGCCCAAGAGGTCCAGCGAGATCAGCCCTGATTAGGCTGCCCCGACACCCTTGGCACATCCCAAGAAGGGGTCAGACTCACAGGTCGAAGATCAGGTAGTGGTGTCCCTCCTCCGAGATGCTGTCATGGAGTCGGACTGTGGGCGAGGAGAGGCAGTTGGTTACAGCGGGACACACTGCTGCCCAGGCCCCCTCCCTCCCTCCCCTCCCACTTATATCCAACATCCCATGCTCCCAGACAGCCACTGCGTACACACCAGGTGCCAGGTGCTTTGGCAAACGCCAGTGAACAAAGGCTCACTGTATTGAGTCCACATAGACCTCAGGCATTACTGAAAGAGGCCGGGGCTTAAACTCAAAAGATGCCTGTTTAGGTCAAAGTTTAGTCCCCTCCCCTCTCTAAAACCCTGTTTCGTTGCTGGCCAGGCCCAAGTCATGGAAAGCCTCTGGCTCCAATCTCTACCACTTACCAGCTGTGTGACTTCTGGCAAGTTGCTAGGCCTTTCTGAGCCTCTCTTTCCTTGCCTGGACAAGGGAAATGAAACTCCCAGATTTGCAGGCTGTCATGAGAGTTCCAGGAGGCACACAGTTGGTGCTCACTCAGTGCTGCCTGAGCTAATATCCTGCTCTGCCCACAAGCCTGAGAAGATAATGGAGCATGGAGGCCAGAGGCAGGAGTGACAGGGTCCCTGCTTTCTGGCGTGCTGAGGAGCTGTCATCTCTTCACACTCCGTTTACCCAGAAGAAAGGCAAAGCTCCCAAGAGCCCAGAGCTCCCAGCATGCACCCCTGAGCTATTAGAAGCAAGGGCCTGAGTCTTGGGGCTGACTCTGGGGCCGCATCCTGTCAGTTAAGAGCAAGTTCTCACAGGACAGAGCTCACATCCTTCCCCACACCACAGCCTAAAAATGTCCATGCAGGGGTGTGCCGGCTCAGTGAATGACGATTCATCTGCACAATGGAAAATGGCACAGCTGCTAAAATAATGCAGCAGTTATGTATCTACCGGTTCACAGTCATCTCCAAATTATGTCTCTCGGTGAAAAAGCCAAGCGCAAAACAGTATGCGTAGTGCTTTTTTAAAAGGATGTATTTATGTTTATATATGGCATAAGTCTCTCTGGAAGAATAAAGAGAAGCAGGCACTGGGAGCGCCTCTTGGGAGGGGAACTGGGGGAGTTGGGTCATGAGAGGAGACCCACTTTTCTCTATGAATCCGAGTGCCATCTGAATGTTTGCCACGTGCATATATTTCTGACTCAGTATGAATTGTTCATGGCTCTCATATTTGCACATAAAGTTTGGAGAGAGGCAGGCATCAAATACCCCAGAGCTGGCGCCTGTAGAAAGAGGGGGATGGGCACCAGAGATGGAGAATGAAGGCGCAAAAAATAAATTGAAAATTTAGGCTGTGCACCGTGGCTCACATCTGTAATCCCAGCACATTAGGAGGCTGAGGCAGGTGGATCACCTGAGGTCAGGAGTTTGAGACCACCTGGCCAACGTGACAAAACCCGGGAGGCAGAGGTTGCAGTGAGCCGAGATCACGCCACTGCACTCCAGCCTGGGCAACAGAGCAAGTCTGCATCTCAAAAAAAATAATAAATAAGATAGAAATAAGATAAAATAAAATTTAGGCCAGGTACAGTGGCTCACCCTGTAATCCCAGCACTATGGGAGGCTGAGGCAGGTGGATCACTTGAGCTCAAGAGTTCAAGACCAACCTGGGCAACATGGTGAAACCCCATCTCTACAAAAAATACAAAAATTAGCTGGGCATGGTGGCAGGCGCTTGTCGTCCCAGCTACTTGGGAAGCTAAGGTGGGAGGATGGTTTATGCCCAGGAGGCGGAGGTTGCAGTGAGCCAAGACAGCCCCACTGCACTCCAGCCTGAGTAATAGAGTGAGAATGTCTCAAAATAATAATAATAATAGTAAAATGCAAAATTTAAAACATTTCTTGATGATGACACATTTATAAACAATAGCTGAAAGGTGTTTTAAAAATATTCTAAAACAAGATCTTAAAGGCATATATAATTCTGCTTTAATTCCTATCGAAATTTTATTATAAAAAATTCAGGCCAGGTGTGATGGCACATGCTTGTAATACCAGCTACTCAGGAGGCTGAAGCGGGCAGATCACCTGAGGTCAGGAGTTTGAGACCAGCCTGGCCAACATGGCAAAACCCTGTCTCTACTAAAAATACAAAAATTAGCTGGGTGTGGTGGCAGGCACCTGTAGTCCCAGCTACTCGGGAGGCTGAGGCAGGACTATTGCTTGAACCCAGGAGACAGAGGTTGCAGTGAGCCAAGATCACACCACTGCACTCCAGCCTGGGTGACAAGAGCAAGACACTGTTCTCAAAAAAAAAAAAAAAAAAAATCAAATATACGGATAAGTGAACACCCAGATGCCCACTATCTAGATTCTATCATTAATGTTTTCCTATACTTGCATTACTATGTTTCTAACCATTCTTCTGTCCATTCATTTATTTAATTTGTAGTACATTTCAAAGTAAGTGCAGGCTGAGTTTTTAAGTATCAATGTGTATTTAACTGCATTTTTGGTGTATAGAATCTGACAATTCTACATCCGGGCACTGCTCAGAATCCCTTTGGTAAGTCAGTGCATCCAAACCCCAGGTGCTGGAGTGTGGGATGCTAACAGCACTTGAATCCCTGACTCAGGCTCTGCTTCCAGGGAACCTGACCTGAGATGATATGTGTATACAGTACCTGAGAAGGCACATATGTCATATATCTTATGGAAGCACACATCATTAAATGTTAGTTCTAAATGTGAGGTTATAGGAGTTACTTTAAAAAGTATATGTCTTCTCATTTAACTGCAATAAACTTGCATTGTTAGTGTATCAAGGTAAAGTTTTGCAAAAGACTCTTCCTTCTCCCTGCCTTTCTCCAGGTGGTCTCTGGGGAGTGACCCCTTTCCTATTCTTTCTGATGGGCCATGGCCTCTGGCTTCCCTTTCCTGAGCATCAGACTCTCTGAGAAGCCAAGCCACAGCTAGAATCATCTGAGAAAGGACGTTTAGAACCACAGCAACAGGCTTTGGAAGGAGCCCCAAGAAGACTGGGGTCCCAGATCTACCCTCTGACCTGGGGTCTCAACCCCTTTAGAGAAATTCCGTGGGTCTCAGGGAAATTGACAGAATCGAAGGAGGTTTTCTTCAGACCTGACTCTCACTCAGATAGTGGCTTTGTGCTGATAAGAGACCATCCCTCTGAGCAGCTGGGCGAGGGGTACACGGGTTGGAATTGAGCCCCCACTTTTGCAATGCACCACCTGCGTGATGGTACTAGAGTTGGCTTCAGTCCCTGAGGGGCATTGAGTCACACCTCGGAGCCCAGGAGACAGGATTTCTTGTGCCAGGGCCATTTTCCCACACAAAGCCTCCCCTCCCATCAGTGGAGGCTACCCTGAGAAACGACTCAGCCAGAGCCCAAGATTCAAGGGCCATAGGCTGTCATCACGGTCCTGTCTCCTGGTGGAATGACTGACATGTCTGTGCCCATTGAATCATGCTGTCACTTTTGACTGTTTAAAATATTGTCATAGAACAAATAAATCTGCAACCTAGCTTTTTATTTACGTAGCTTGATTCATGCACTTCTGGAATTCCTGTGATTTTCCAACAGTGCATTTTTTTCTTGGCAGTTGAAGGATAGTACTTGTTCCCTTATTTTCGTGTGCCCCTGACACCACATTTGTGATATCCACTCAGGGAGCTAAATAGAAGGACTGGGAACGAGGGCTCTGGAATCAGACCTGCTGAGTTTGCCTCCCAGATCTACTTCTTACAAGCTGTGTAGCTATGAGCAAATGACTTAACCTCTCTGAGCCTCCATTCCAAACAGTAGTGCCAATACTGTTGGACTGTTGTGGTCACGAATGTGATGATTCCTGTAAACCACTTAGCACGGTACCTGGCACTAGGAAGAATTCAATAAATGGAGACATTATCATCTTCATCACTGACTTATTATACTTCCCTTCTCCACCACAAATCACCTACTAAGCTTTCAGGTTGTCCCTAGCACAGTCCTTCGGAGGACTGTGCTTTGGAGTGGCCTTCTGGGGTCTGTCCCATCTGCAGGTGGTGATGGTACAGACAGCAGGTTACTGACCTCTCCCAAGAAGGATCTTGGAGGTAAGCGCTTTATGCACAGCACAGTTGGACTGACCAGTGCTGAGCCAGGGACCTCACTGACCTGGTCCTGTGGGGACTGGACAGTGGCCACAAGGAAGCAGCGACCAGTAACCTTGTCTAGATTGGCCAAGCAGGCCGAACAGGACTCAGTCCAGTTTCTCTAGGCACAGGCTCGCCTTTCGGGTTTTGAGCCCACATCTCTACCTCTTTGCACAGCTTTGGGAAGATTACAACCTACTTTGAAGGAAGATGCTTGGAAAATCAGGAAAGTGCACCCTCCAAGGACCCTTCCAGCCCTGACAGCGGCTCCAAGCTCTTCTGGGGTCTTCCTGTGCCGGATGCTCAGCTCTGCTTTCCAATCCCCTGTGCATCAGCCACCACCCCCACTCCCATCTCCCATCCCCACTTCTCCTGCACATTCTTAGGGCCTCGCAGAAACCTTGGCCTGTGGTGGGTCTATAATGCACCTGACATCAGGTGAACGAAGGAAGGAGTAAATGACCCAATGATGACGATGATGATGATGAGGGTGAAGATGGTGGTGAAGATGGCTACCATTTCTGAGCTTTTACCACGTGCTAGGCTTTGTGCCAAGTGCTTTACTCACGCTATCTCATTTGACCCACCAACAGTCCTAGGAGGTGGGTGCTGTGATTATCCCCACTTCACAGAGGAGGATACTGAGGCTGAGAGGTTCACAGGCTGCCCAAGCTCAAACACTTTGTTAACAGCAGAGCGGAGATTGAAACTGGGCGCCTGACTGCAAACGCCATTCTCCTAACCACTATGTTGTATGCAGTGCCTCCAATGATAACTAAAAATCTTCATGGCCCCGAGGGATGACAGTCTTAGGGAGTTTCGCGCGAGAGGCTGTCTTCAGACAAGGTTGTTCTGAGGGAAGGTGTTGACTGGGGGAAAGGGGCAGGTTAATGATAATGACCGTCATGATGCTATGCTCTATTTCATCATCACAATCCTAGGAGGTAGGTATCATTTCCACTTTCCAGATAAAATGGAGCTTCAGAGTGGTTGAGCAACATGTCTAGGGTCACACAGCAATGAAGCAGCAAATCAAGGATTTGAGCTGTAGTCAGTCCAAAGCCAAAACACACTGCCCCCCATTTTACAGCTGGGAATGAGAGGGAGAGGGAGGTGTGAACAGGAGGAGGCAGTGTTGACCTGAGACAGTTGCAGTTGTGCAGCAACACACACACTTACACAGAGTCACATACACACATTCACACACTCGCAGACACACACACTTATACACATATTCACACACTCAGACTCAGCTACACATATTCACATACTCACGCTTAGACTCACATACACACACACATAGACACACACATTCACAAACACACACAGACTCATACACACATTCACACACATACATGCATTCACACAGTACATACTCTCACATGCACTCACACACATTTACACACATTCACACACACACATTCACACAGTCACATACATGCATTCACACACACAGACACATTCACACACACACATTCACACATACACATGCATTCACAGACATTCACACACTCCACACACTGTCACATACACTCACATACATGCATTCACACACACGCCACACTCTCACATACACACACATTCACACACATTTATACAGATATACACATTCACACACTTACACACATTCACACACACACCTACACAGACTCACATGCATTCACACACACTCAACACACACATACACACATTCACACACACAAACATACACACATTCACACACACATTCATACACTCACACGCATTCACACTCATATGTACACACTCCACACACCGTCACACATACATCCACATACACTCATACACACACACATTCACACATTCTCACACTCACATTCACTCACACACACCCCACACACTCTCACACACTCCCCTTCTTCCACCGGAGCCGGCCACCTCTCTAGGAACCATAGAATCTTACAGTCAGAGGTCACTCCCAACCCCCTCCATCACCCAGCTGGGGGGTTGGAGGCCTGCAATGGGCAGGGGCTGCCTAAGGCCACACAGCGAGGACATTAGTAGGTCAGGGACCAGGGTTCAACCAGGGCTGCTCCAGCCAGCCCTGTGCTGCGTCTTCTCTGATGCTGGCCGGGGAGCCTCTGGCTGCTGTTTGAACAGGGAAAGGGAGGTGCCTTCTGGGTATAAATAGCAGATGAAGCTGCTTCTCTCTGGCAAGAGAGTTAACCCTTGGGGCCCCGGGCACGGAGAGAGGCTTCCCTGCCTGGGGAGAAGGCGTGTTGGCTGTCAGAGTTGGAAGAGTCCATAGCGGTTGCCTAGGCCCTGCTCCTCCGTGTGTTCTGTGAGTCAGCAGGCTTGGCATCTCCTCGAAGCGTTTTAGAACTGCAAAATTCCAGCCCCATCCCCGGCCCACTAAGTCCAAGTCCACCTTTTCACCAGGTGCCCAAGACGCTGCATCAGACAGCTCTTCCCTCATAAGGATGGGGAAAAGCGAATAAGAGAGGGCGGTGTTCCTGCCCAAGGTCACACAGCCATTCACTGACAGAATTAGCTCTCAAAGCCACACTTCCTGCCCTCAGGACTCAGGACGCTGACAGGCAGGGCTAGGGGAGGGGCCAGGCAGTGAGGTGTCATTTCAGAGCCCACCCCCATGGGTGCTGCTGCTCTGCTCTGTCCCAGCCCACGGTGGCCCAGCCTCTCCACGCAGCCCGTGCCCGGCCTGTGGGCCAGGGCCTGAGTTGGCGCTTGCCCCCATAGGCAGGCAGGTGCCAGGTCAAGGGAGGAGGGCAGGGCCACGCTGCCAGGCTGAATCAACATGGGGATGTGTTTGGGGAATGGGCCACAGCGGTCAAGGCCATGCGCTTCCCCCTGGCCTATTTTCATCTCTCCCAGAGCTTTAGAAGTTTTCCTGAAACAGCTTTTCCGAAGGAGGCTGCCGGCAGTGTGGGATGGGAGGAAGGGCCTTTCTTCACCCTCCCCTGAAACAAGCTGGCTCTGAGGAATGTGGAAACCATTAAAGACGCCCCCTTTCCCATCTCTGCTGCCTCCATCCCCGGAGAAGAGAGCAGCTGCTCTCCACCCAACCCGCAAACACCCACTTGCCAGGGTGGGCAGGGAGCAGGGCCTGCCCCCCACCGCGCCCCTCTCGTCCTGTAAGGCTCACCGATGTTGGGGTGCTTCAGCAGGCGGCAGATGCGGGCTTCACGCTCCAGCTTCTGATGGTCTGAAACACAGAGGCTCAGGTGAGTCCCCAGTGAGGGAGGAACCGCCACCCTCCATCTCTCCCTCCTCACAGCCTTGTATTATCTCCACCTCCCAGGGCAGCTCCTGGGCGCTGGGAAAGCTCACCTTCTGGCCAGGGCCTCTGAGTTCTCCAGGAAGACCGTGGGGTGCAGGGGAAAGAGGAAGAGGCCTGGGCTGCAGTGACTCATGCACATTCCTCGCCCTCTCTGGCCTCCGTTTCCACAGCTCTTAAATGAGAGGCTTCTCCACGACACCTCCAGGCCTGTTTCTCAGGCCCTATACTCTGGCCAGACTGAATGGCTGAACCACAGGGAGACCCCGCTGGGCCCTCTCACTTCAGGACATGCACATGCAATTCTCCTGCCTCAGTCTCCTGAGCAGCTGGGAATCGCACATGCAATTCTCTCAGCTTGAAACACTTCCTCAACCTCCCACCTGCCGCTCACTGGTCATCACTCACTCCTACCAATGCTTAGATGTCTCAAGCCCCTGGCAGCAGGTCCCGACTGCCAGGCAGGCAGACGCCCATCCTTTGTGCTTTCAGAGCCCCCAAACAGCATGTCCCACTCAGTCCCATGGACATCTAGTTCCTTGAGAGCAGGGACTTGGTCCTACACATGGGACTTGGGTAGATGTACCCCTGACATCTACCCAAACACCTGGCACTTAGTAGGTGTTCAATAAATAACTGAATGAAGCTGGGCACGATGGCTCATGCCTACAATACTAACACGTTGGGAGGCCGAGGCAGGTGGATCACTTGAGCTCAGGTGTTCAAGACCAGCCTGGGCAACATGGTGAAACCCCATTTCAACTAAAAATACACAAATTAGCTGGGCATAGTGGTGGGCGCTTGTAATCCCCGATGCTCAGGAGGCTGAGGCAGGAGAATCACTTGAAAGTGGAGATTGCAGTGAGCTGAGATCATGCCACTGCATTCCAGCCTAGACGACAGAGCGAGACTTTATCTCAAAAAAAAGCAAGAAGGAACCAAATGAAAAAATAAATGATTGCATGAATGCACCTTTCTAAGGGAGTGGCTATTCTTCCAGAGGGCTGTGTTAATTCCCAGAAGTCACCTCCCTTTCAGGAGACTCTGGGACCGGGACACAGAGACCCCCAAAGAATCTGCAGGGGCCGACCCAGAGCTCCCCCACCTGCCTTCTGGGCTGCCTTGTGAGTCCTCTGGGGCTCCCCACACACCCGGGGGAGAGGCTTTGCTCGGGGTCTGCCACTGTGGCTTCTGATTCTCCTGCTGCTGGGAACAGGAGCCCACATGACCCTACTCGGTGCCCCCAAACAATCCCGGGCTGGGGACACCACTCTCCTCCTTTTATAGATGAGGAAACCGCAGCCTGAACAAGCTGAAGCCTCTGTGGTGGCAAAGCTGGAACTGAAAATGCATTTCTCATTTTCCTTTTTGGTCCTTTTTTCACAATTTGGTAGTTAACACCTTAATTTAACAAACAAAACCTTAAAAAAGAAACCCCTTTTGAAAATCTCTGTGCCAAGCACTGTGCAGAGGGCTTTATATGCCTTTCCAGCCCTCACTGTAATCCTTTTTTTTTTTTTTTTTTTTTTTTTGTTTGAGACGGAGTTTCACTCTTGTTACCCAGGCTGGAGTGCAATGGCGGGATCTCGGCTCACCGCAACCTCCGCCTCCTGGGTTCAGGCAATTCTCCTGCCTCAGCCTCCTGAGTAGCTGGGATTACAGGCACGCACCACCATGCCCAGCTAATTTTTTTGTATTTTTATTAGAGACGGGGTTTCACCATGTTGACTAGGATGGTCTCGATCTCTTGACCTCGTGATCCACCCGCCTCGGCCTCCCAAAGTGCTGGGATTACAGGCTTGAGCCACCGCGCCCGGCCCTCACTGTAATCCTTTGAGGGAGTTACTATCATTTTTCTGGCTTTCCAGAGGAGGAGACAGAGCTTCAGAGAGGCTAAGTACCTGCCCAAACTCAATCCTGCAGTGAGCAGTGGGGCCATGCGTTGTACCCAGAAAGTCAGACTCCAGAGCTGGCTTTCAATCCTGGGCTATACTGTTCTCTGTGTCCCAACTCATAATCACTACCTCCCTTTGCCCCCAACTCCCAAACAGGAAAATTAAAGCCCACAGAAGAAAACTCATGCCAACACCCAGACGTCAAGCCCACGCTAGAACCCTGGCCTCTCAGAGGAGGCAGGTATGCGGGTGGGGGTGGTGAGAATGGAGAAAGTCCCAGCCCTTGTCCCCAGGAACCCAGCTCCCCTTCCCCCTGCCCCCTTCACTACAGCAATCACTGGCTGTCCTCCAAGGGCTGCAGAAGCCAAAATCAATACTGAAAGGTGGCTTTTCCACCAGCAAAGCAATTAAGTCCAATTCCGTTTCCATGGCTCAACTCGCCAGCTGAAGACGGGCTGCAAGCTGGGGATGAGGAGGTGTGGCCAAGTTAGGGGGGCATCCCTTGTTCCCCCTCCCTCCGTGGGCTCCTTTCATAACCTCCAGGGTAGGGGAGGCTGACTCCTGGGCAGAGGAGTGGATGCCCATCCAGAGCTGACCAGGCAGGGCCCTCCCCCTGCTCCACGCCCTATGCCCTACCCCCCAATCCACCCCCAGCAGAACCAGAACTCAGGCAGGTCAAGGTCAGGCCTGTCGGAGGGGGAAGGGGGCTTCCGGCCTAGGCTATACATTCAGGGGGTGGGAGCTCCAAATCCGGAATTTTGTTGTTTTCTCCCTGTGAGGTTACCCAGGAGCAGAGAACATTGACAGCATTGAAAGAAGGAACTTCCAGCTTGTGCCTGGTTAGCAGACCTCACTGCTGGAGATGCTAGGAACTAATTGTGTAAATCTCATCGTCATCCTGTGCACAGTGCAATTAAGCTGCGTTGTCACTTTTTAAAGTGTTCATCTTATTGAGTGTAAACATATACATTATACAATATTTCTTATAACCCTGTTTGCAATGTTTTCATTTTCTAAGATACAGAGAACCTCAAGACATATAGAGACAATGTTTCTTTTGACCTCAGAGGCTGTGCTCTGTTACATACATGGAGAAACTGAGGTCCATTGACAAAGGAACAGACCTTTTATCAAAATCGCTCACCAAAATCACTCTGAGAACTCAGAGCTCTGAAGCCTCTACCCCTGCACCTTCCTCCCAATTGTAGCCAATTGTCCATGTAGCCAGGCTGTCCTTTTTTTTTTGAGACAGAGTCTCGCTCTGTCACCCAGGCTGGAGTGCAGTGGCTCGATCTCGGCTCACTGCTACCGCCACCTGCCAGGTTCAAGCAATTCTCCTGCCTCAGCCTCCCGAGTAGCTGGAATTACAGGTGCCCAGTACCATGCCCAGCTAATTTTTGGAATTTTTAGTAGAGACGGGGTTTCTCCATGCTGGCCAGGTTCGTCTTGAACTTCTGACCTTGTTATCTGCCCGCCTAGGACTCTCAAAGTGCTGGCATTACAGGCATGAGCCACCACGCCCGGCCCCGTGAAAGAGCTCTTTTTAAAACATCAATTAAATCCTGTCACTCCTTGGCTTCCAGCTCTCCAACAGCTTCCCAATGTACTTAGAGCACAATCCAAGCTCCTCGCCAGGTCCAGCCTCACCTTGGCTAGGAAGCTCCCGCCACACCGGTCTCCTCTGTGGTGTGACACACCAAGCTCCTCCCCACCTCACAGCCTTTGCACCTGCTGTGCCTTCTGCCCAGAAAGCTCTTCCTTGGGTCTTCTCATCAGGCAGGCCCAGCACAATGTCACCTCCTTGGAGAGCTTCCCTGGCTGCCTTTTCTAAGTGTGTCCCTCCTGCCGCATCACCTCCCCATACCCTGTCTTATTTTCTTGGTTGACATTTGTCATTACCTGAAGCTACCCAGCTGATGGATGTGTTTAGTGTTCTTTTCAGTCTCACTCCCTAGGAAACGGGCACCATGAGAGCAAGACCTTTTCTGTTGGTCACTGCCACATTCCCAGGGCAGGACATAGAGCTGCTAAGCAGCTTGTCCAAGGTCCCGTAGTAAACAAGTGGCAGAGCTAGGATTTCAACCCATGTACATAGTTACTGTACTATATTGCTTCCCGTTCTAATAAACTTCTGGTCACACTGTCATTACCCAGGCTGGAGTACAGTGGCAGGATCATGGCTCGCTGCAGCCTCCACTTCGTGGGCTCAGGTGATGCTCCCACATCGGCCTCCCTCTCAAATAGCTGCGGCTACAGGTGCCCACCACCATGCCCCGCTAATTTTTTGTATTTTTAATAGAGACAGCGTCTTGCCATGTTTCCCAGACTGGTCTTGAACTCCTGGCCTCAATGTATCCTCCCACCTTGGCCTCCCAAAGTGCTGGGATTAAAGGCATGAGCCACCGAGCCCAGCCCCATTCTAATAATTAATTGATGAATTGATCCATCAGCTAATCAGAGTCCCACAATGGTGAGAGGACTGAGGGAAGCTAGAAGTCTTCAGCCTCCTGACTGGGTACCTGGGGGAGCTTCCCCCAATGTCCATGATAGTATCTTGGGAAACTTCTCCCTTCCTTCCTGGATGGTTGGGTCACCTCCAGGGTTTGGGAGCTAAGGCTCAGCAAAGCTCAGCAGACAGGGGTGGATGGATATTCTGGGGTGAGGTCCCTGGGCCAGACAGCTCCAGCAGTGTGAGACAGGACAGGGTAGGCCTGACAGTCACTGCAGGCCTGACAGGATGTGCAATCACGCAGATGGGCAGCGCTCTGCCTCCAGAGGGGAGTGGATTTCAGCAGGCAGGCAGCCTGAGATTGCAGCAAGAGGCACACAAGCCAGGAGAAAAAGAGACCTCCAGTCTGGGAACAGGGAGTGCCTGCCCCCTGCAAAGGACATCCCAATCCTGGGAGGCCAGAGCACTCATCCCAAGAACCAAGAGTGCGCGGCAAGGGGTGGGGAGGAGGACAGCAGAGATGGGAAGCACGTGTCTGACTGTTCCCTCAGAGGCTTCCTTGCAGGGACTTGAATGACACTCTAGTGCAGGCTGGATGAGCTCATGCTATGCTCCCCGCCTGGTGCCCCAAGACTGGCCACTGGGGAGCCGAGAAAGTGACCCCCTCATGCTCAAGCTGGAGAGTGGGGCCTGTGGAGGCCACAGTGCCCAGGCCAGTCGCCTCTGGCTGCACCAGCCTCCTGCATGTGCCCAATGCACCCTTGGCATGCTACCTCTGTGTGCGTCGTCAGGAGGACAAGCTAGGAGACTGTAGAGAAGCTGCTGGGGGTTAGCGCTGAGCCTGTATCATTGTATTAGGTTGGTGTTAATGGCTACTGTTACTGATGCCAGAATTTTTTAATGCAGGGACTTGGGCCTCCCTTATTCAATCCAACCTTCATGGGTGGAACTCAGGCAGCTGCGTGTTTTAAAAAGCTCCCAAAGGTATTTGGCAGGGATTGGAACGGGCAAAAATGTTACTTTTCATTTCATTTCTTCATAGTTTCTTTGACTTGTTTATACTATGAATGTTTTTAAAAGACTAAATTAAAAATACAAACAAAAATATCTTCTGGGTTTGGGAACCACTTGCTAGAAGAGGCTGGGCAGGGTGGGCAAAAGAAAGCCACAGCTCCCTGGAGGGTGGGCACAGCCCCTGCGGGGTGCTGCCAAAAGTCACCCAGGAGCACCAGCAGGAGACACTTAGAGTGTGTTGCCAAAGATTCAGCATTAAACCCCCTCCCCGCCTCCGAGGCACCATGAGTGGCAAACAAAGACTTCTGCTAAAAGAAGCTCTGCTCCTCCTCTCCCGCTGGGAAGAAAAGTGCCTGGCAGTTGGCAGACTTTGCCAGAAGGTTCTCTGATAACCTCCCCACCCCCGCCATCCACACTCACTTAGGCCGGGGCCACCTTCCTTCCAAGAGGTCAAGGACTCAACAAGTTGCCAAAGAGAGGTGGCTTGGGTAGTGACTGTCTGCATAGCCCAGGGTCTGCACTGTCCCAGGGGAGCTTAGTCACCTGCCAAACAGGAGCCGTGGCCCTTCCACTCTCCCATACACATCTGTCTCTTTTGGTCACTCTGCAAGTGTGTGTGTGGATGTGCCCCAAGAGTGCGGTGAACTAACCCGAGATCCCCAGCATCCAGGACAGCCTTGGTGCCTGACCCTCTCTCCCACCGAAAAAACCTCATACCATCACCACCTGTCCCTGCTGTACCTCAGGGATTGGGACATCTCCCTTGGTCACTCGACACCCAATGCACAGAAAAGGCACCAGACCGCTGCTAGTCACACAGCAATGACAAGGCCAATCCAGGCATCTGGCCATGAGGCAGCACCCCTGCCAGCATTCCTGCCCGCCCTGTCTGTAGCTCCCAACCTTCCAGAAGCTTGGACTTTTCACACTGACCGTGGTCCATGTGGGGCTCCTGGTCCTTCAGAGACCCCCACCCTATCCCCAGTCGCGCCTCTGCTGATCCTCTTTGACCTTCAACACATGGGGGAGGTTGGTAACTGGACAAAACTGCTGAGCTCCCAGCAACACAGCCAGAGAAGAAAAGCAGCAAAGAAGAAACACACAGTCCAACACGGGGCCTGCTGGGAGGCCTGCAGGGAGCAGCATGAGCCTCCTGTACCAGCCGCAGTGAGGACCGCCACGAACCTACACCTGCCGGGCGCTGGTCCCACGCAGCTGCGCCTGTCAAACACCTGGACACCACCAGCCCCTCACACAACATCTCCTGCGCTGCACAAACCATGGACTGTACAGCCCACACCTGCACCCACATCACCCAACAGAATTCTCTCCACCACCTGGCGGTCCCCAGGGAAGCTTATACACCATTTCATTCAGGGTGGGGGCTGCCATCTTTGAAGATAACCCTCTCCAACACACTGACCGTGGTTGCCACCATCACTGTCTTAAACACACAGTAATGGCAAGAAGTGAGTCTCCTGGGCGGGCTTCCCAAATTTTAATGTCCACAATCACCCAGGCATCTTGTTAAAATGCAGATTCAGATTCTTCAAGTCTGGAATGGGGCTGAAGACTTTGCCTTTCTTTTTTTGGAGAGAGTCTTGTTCTGTCACCAGGCTGGAATGCAGTGGCGCAATTTTGGCTCACTGCAATCTCCACCTCTGGGTTCAAGGGATTCCCTTGCCTCAGCCTCCTAAGTAGCGGGTACTACAGGCACCCACCACCATGCCTGGCTAATTTTTTGTATTTTTAGTAGTATTTCACCATTTTGGCCCAGATGGTCTCGAACTCCTGATCTCATGATCCACCCAACTCAGTCACCCAAACTGCTGGGATTACAGGCATGAGCCACCGCGCCCAGCCAAGACTTTGCCTTTCTAACAAGCTGCTGGTGATGCTGATGCCACTGGCCCAGGACCACTTCTAAGGTCCTAGGACAGTGGTTCTCAAACTCTTCTGCAAATTAGAGTTAGCTGGGCATCTTTTCCAAAACCCAGATCACACCCCAGATCAACTCTCTGGAGGGCCAGAGAATGGCGCAGCTGAGGCCAAATACACTTGGAGTTCACTGGCCGCTGTCTGAGTGCAGGTGCTGCTCCAGGTGCTGGGTGCAGAGTAGCCCATCCTCTTGGAGTTTACAGCCCGAAAAGGGAGGTGGATATTAAAGGGGCCTAATCAATGAACAGGATGAGTCTAGATCAGGGAAAGCTATAGAGGAAATAAACAGTAATAAGAGAGAGAAATGGGCCTGGCATGGTGGCTCATGCCTGTAATCCCAGCACTTTGGGAGGCCGAGGCGGGCGGATCATCTGAGATCAAGAGTTTGAGACCAGCCTGGGCAACGTGGTGAAACCTCATCTCTACTAAAAATACAAAGAAAAAACTTAGCTGGGCTTGGTGGCGGGCACCTGCAATCCCAGCTACTCAGGAAGCTGAGGCAGGAGAATCACTTGAACTCGGGCGGGGGAGGTGGCAGTGAGCCGAGATGGCGCCACTGCACTCCAGCCTGGGCGACAAGAGCGAAACTCCGTCTCATTAAAGAAAAAAGAGAGAGAGAGAGAGAGAGAGAGAGAGAGAGAGAGAGAGAGGGAGGGAGAGCCAGAAAATGGAGGAGGCGGCCACTTCAGATTAGGGGGTCAGGAAAACCTCTCAGAGGATGTGACCTTGAGCTGAGACCTGAGGACTGAGAAACAGCCATTCATGAAAGGAGCCAGGAGATGGCGTTCAGGCAGAGGCAAGAGTAGAGGTCTGGAGGGGAGGAGTGAAGGGGAGTGGCAGGAGAGCAGGGAAAGGAGGGCCCATCTGGTGCCTCAGCCCTCACCTGTCGGGGCACAGAGCTTGGCCTGTCTGGGTGAGGCTGTAGTCTCCAGCCTCGAAAAAAGGAAAAGAAAGAAAAAGGGAAGGTGTATTCTCATGACACCCCCGGGAAGGGCAGCTCCCACCCCTGTCATCAGTATCACCCAGCAGCTCAGCCCCGGGTCCTGGTTCTAAACCAAGCAGTACAGGCAGCGGGAGAGAGGAGAGCCCCAGAGGGCGGGCGGGGTAGAGATCAGACACCTACCTCTGGCTGACAGCTTCTTGGTGTTGATGATCTTGGCAGCGTACTCTTGGCCAGCCAGCACCTTCACACACCTTCGCACCACCGAGAAGGCTCCCCTAGGAGGACGGAGAAGGTGGAAACGGTGAGGGAATGCCCAACGCTATGTCCCCAGGAGATGGTGGTGGTCACGTGGCTGCTCCAAGCTACAGGGAGCCCTTCATCAGAGCTGCTCAAGCTCACAGGGGCTTCTGTGGCCCAACTCAGGGACAGAGGCCAGAGAGACCCAGAAGATGGCCCCAGAAGCAGATTAGAAGCTTGGCCTCCAGTAAGAGGAGCTGCCAATGTTATGAAAGTTGGGGTCACCGTGCTATAAAACATTAGAATCATGTAGTGTTAGAACCACAGAATCCGTGTCTCTGAAAGTTTTTAGTTTTTTATTCTCTGAGTAGGTAATACATGGACACGGTTCCAAGTTCAGAAGATACAAAGGTATAGGTAGTAAACGGACTCCTTCCCACGCCCTTACTGCAGCCTCTGACATCCCCTTCCCCGGGATGACCACGGTTACCATGTCCTTAGTATCTTTCCACAGACGGTGTCCCACCCATGAATGGTACTGGACTTTGTATACTGTTCTCCACCTTCCTTTTTTCAGTAGATAATATATTTTTGGAGATCCTCATTCCATAAGAGTTCCTTGTTACTTAGTCTGTGATTGTATGGCTGTCCGATCCTTTATTCAGCCAGTCCCCTGCTGATGGGCGCTCAGATCAGTTTCCATCTATAACCGTCACAAACAATGCTACAAAGATTAACCGAGTATGTGTGCATTTGAATTATATCTCCTTTGTATGCATGTGTCTGTGTGGGATACACTTCCAGAACTTGTGTTATCTGGTCAAGGGGGAGGTGTTGTTTGCTGATTTTGATGGATAATGAGAGACTGCCCATACTAAAGATTGTACCAACTCAATTTCCCACTAGCATGCAAGGGGACCAGTTCCTTTACCCTTGTTGACACAGTGTATTACCCAACTTTTTTTACTAGAGAGAAGGTGGAAAATGGCAATTTGCTGTAATTTAATTGCTAGTTGTCATATTAAGAGTGAGGCTGAGCATCTTTTCATGTTTTAAGAGGCCCTTGGAATTTTATCCTCAAACTATTAGTAATTAGAAGAGAACGTGGGGCAAGGGCTGTGAGTTTTCCAGCTCACAGGGGAAAATATTGTTGCCATGTAGAATGTGGCCCATTTCCTACCTCATTTGATTTTTCAGGAAAAACTACAAGTTTAGATATTGATGAGAAATCGCCCAAATTTTAAACACTGCCACCTGTTCCAAAAGAATCTGAGGATGGCATTAGGCCAAACAAAACTGTCTAAGGCTGGATCTAGAGTCTAGATGCCATTTTGCACTCTTTGCCACAAAAACCATGTGGTCCAACCCCTTTGTATACAGAGAAGAGTCCTAAAGGGCCTGATACTGACCAAGGTCACCACTATTGCCACCCTAACACCATGCTAATGGCAAGAAGAGTCTCCTGGGCAGGCTTCCCAAACCTAAATGTCTGTGGAAATCACCCAGGCACCTTGTTAAAATGCAGATTCTGGGCCGGGCGCGGTGGCTCAAGCCTGTAATCCCAGCACTTTGGGAGGCCAAGGCGGGTGGATCACAAGGTCAAGAGATCGAGACCATCCTGGTCAACATGGTGAAACCCCGTCTCTACTAAAACCACAAAAAATTAGCTGGGCATGGTGGTGCGTGCCTGTAATCCCAGCTACTCGGGAGGTTGAGGCAGGAGAATTGCCTAAACCCAGGAGGCGGAGGTTGCGGTGAGCCGAGATCGCGCCATTGCACTCCACCCTGGGTAACAAGAGTAAAACTCCGTCTCAAAAAAAAAAAAAAAAAAAAAAATGCAGATTCTGATTCCTTGAGACTTTGAGCTCCAGTGTAGCTCAGTGTAGGTTGCTCAAGATCACATGGTTCCTAACAGGCAGAGCTGCATCTAGAACTCAGATGTTAGCACTCCGTATGACTTCCACACCAAGTAAGCCTTCCACCTCCTGGCATGCAGGGCCATGCCCAGGTTTTTGGCATGGCTTCACCCATCACATCCTCCAAACTTGGATCCCCCATCCCAAGCTTATGGGCACCTCTGAGCACACAAAAAGATGAGGCCGACAAGGTAGAGGAGGATGCTGGCAGGCACTGAGGAGGCCTGCAGGCTAGCACAGATGCCTGCTCTGCACACCGCCCTGAGCACTGGCTTCATGTCTGGGCAGCAGGAAATGAGCGGCTGGGAAACTGAAGAAGGATGAGGAGGAAGGAGCCAAGATACGGACTAGAGACCAAGAAATATAACCTTGTATGACAGCTAGAGAGGGCCAGAATTCATGGGCACACAGAGGGTCTCGTGCAGCTGTGGGTCCTTCTTGGGGTGTGCAGCCTGCCCACATGCTACCAGGAAGAAAGCAGCAGGACCCCAAGCTCTTCCCAGAGACTCTCCTCTGCTATGCGGCCCCTCTTCCGTGCTTCCAGAGCACCTCTGCTTAGAAAATAATTCACTTTTCTTCCATCATTCCCACACTTCTGGCCACCAGCTCTGGAGAGTTTTTTTTTTTTTTTTCACACCGACCGATTCTCTGGACACCAGTTGGGTATTCTATAATTCAATTATGAAACTAACTACCTAGAGTTAGTCCGGACCTCACAGGCTAAGGGTTAATTCCCATAAGACAGTCCCCTTGCTTCAGATGCCAATCACAAAGAGTGGGTTATCAGGTTACCCACAGCCCCCTCCTTTTATAATTTTCTATGATGGCTCACAAAACTCAGAGAAACGCATACTTTTACCGTGTGTGTGTGTGTGTGTGTGTGTGTGTGTGTGTGTGCGCGCGCGCGTGCGTGTTTACAATAAAGGTTATGGTAAAGGGTGGATGAACAGCGAGATGAAGAGGGGCATAGAGCAAGGTCTGGAAGGATCTTGAACACAGGAACTTCTGTCCCCATGGAGTTGGGGTGTGCCACCCTCGAGGCATGTGGATGTGTTCACCAACCCAGAAGGTCTTCGAGCTCCATATTTAAGAGTCCTTTATGGAGGCCTCATCACTGGGTACGATTGATTATTAACTCAATCCCCAGCCCCTCTCCTCTCCCTGAGAATGGGGGGAGGGGCTGAAAGTTCCAAGCTTCCGATCATGGTTTGGTCTTTCTGTGACCAGCTCCCACACAGGCACCCACCCAAAGCTGCCTCATTAGAACAAAAGATGTTCTCATCACCCAGGAAATTCCAAGGCAGGTGGGACCTCCAAGTCAGGAACTGCGTTCTAAGACCAAATATTAGAACAAAAGACACTATTAGTACCCCCAAGAGTTTGGGGAGCTCTGTGTCAAGAACCAGGGAAAATGACCAAATGTATATTTATATATTTCTTATTACATCATAATATCATAACCCTATATCTCCATCTAGTTCAGATTGGTGGTGGCTCTTCCTCCTGTTTCTCTCTCCCACCCTGACAGTATCTGAGGGCCAGGACTTTCCCTTTCTTCTCTCTGCTCCCAGTAGTTGACTACCCAGTGTCTGGTGCCAATAGAGCCTCCGTGAGTGTTACTTGCAGGAGCAGGAGGTGGATTTCAGCAAGAGTGAGAGAAACTGACATGAGACAGGAGAGGAAATTTTCAGATGGCGTGTTAGGAACAGGAAAAGGCATCTAAGGAAGGTCAGGGACAACTGGTCTCTCAAAGGTGCCCGCCCTACCCAGGCACGGGGATGGACCCAAAGACCTTTAGGTCCCCGTCTAGCTGGGGGCCATGATCCTCAAAAGCCCTTTGAGAAAAAGTGTTGAAAGCGGCCATATCTGGGTAAGGTTCTGAGAACTCCAGGAAGAGAAGGGCAGAAGGCAGGGAAGGTTTTAAGCTCCAGAGTGCAGGAGCTGGGTCTTGTCCTGCTCAGCAGCAACTGCCAAAGCTTGGTCCAAAGCTAGAGCTCAATTAATATGTGTTGGGTGGATGAGGGAATAGAGGGAGGGATGGTTGGACAGAGGGAGGGAGGGATGAAGATAATTTCTCTGTTAGAGAGGCAAAACGCCCTTCTAGGTAAAGACCTTAGATCAGTGGTTATCAAACTGGCTGCCTCAGACTCCCCTGGAGGATCTCTTATTTATATTTTTCCTTTTTTTGAGACAGAGTATTGCTTTGTCACCCAGGCTGGAGTGCAGTGGCATGATCTTAGCTCACTGCAACCTCCACCTCCTGGGTTCAAGCGATTCTCCTGCCTAGCCTCCCAAGTAGTTGAGACTACAGGTGCATGCCACCACTCCTCATTAGTTTTTTGTATTTTTAGTAGAGATGGGGTTTCACCATGTTGGCCAGGACGGTCTCAATCTCCTGACTTCGTGATCTGCCTTCCTCGGCCTTCCAAAGTGCTGGGATTGCAGGCATGAGCCACCAGGCCCAGCTGGATCTTTTTAAAAAAAAAAAAACAAAAAACACAGATTCTGGGGAGTGGTGGCCCATGTCTGCAATCCACGCACTTTGGGAGGCCAAGCTGAGAGGATCACTCGAGCCCAGGAGTTTGAGACCAGCCTGGGCAATGTGGTGAAACCGCATCTCTACTGCTGGGCTTGGTGGTGCACGTCTGTGGTCCCAGCCATTCAGGAGGCTGACGTAGGAGGATCACTTAAGTGCCGGAGGCGGAGGTTACGGTGAGCTGAGATTGCATCACTGCATTCCAGCCTGAGTGACAGAGTAAGACTCCGTCTCAAAAGAAAAAGTAAGCAAATTCCAAGGCCCCACCCAGACCTCCTAAATCAGTACTTCTGGGTATAGGCCCAGGAAATCTGCAATTTCATTTTAACTCCATCTAGGGGTGATTCTTTCCCAGGGAGCCCAGCACTGCCCAATGCCTTCCGGGGAAGTCTTGCCGCATATCCTGCCTCCCTTGGAAATCAGCCCAGGTGGGGGCCAGTGAGCGCTCTGTGCAGGGAGGCCTGACCGGCCCCATGAGCCTGGGCCCTGGCTCGGTGAGCAGAGGCCGTAAGAGCCACGTCTGTAAAACAAGAGAAGCCACACTTGCTAAACTTCTTCTTCAGAACAGCAGCAAGCTTTTCTGTAA